TCAACGAAACACGTTCCAATGCGTTGCCGACGCCTATGAGTCTGCCGGTCGAGGCGCGTCTTTGATTTCATTGGTTCTACCGGCGGAGAACAATCAGCCATTATTTCCATCTCTGTCTGTGCTGTTGACCACCGCAAAGCCACAGAAACAACATATGTCGTACGCTATACGGCTGTACTGGAAGGAAGCCGGGATCGAGCTCTGATCACGTGTTGATCACGCGTATGAGTCATTACAGTTTTAAATACCTGTAGTATAGCCCGTTTTGCTACTATGCACCAGATCACTGACCAATGGTTTGGAGAAGAAGCTAGACCTCCTACTATGCGTACTGTCCACGGTTAGTGCTTTCTCTGACTGCGGACCACTATCGTCAACGTTTGAACTGGAGCAGAGAACTGCAACATTGGGAGGCAGAATGGCATGATGTTATCTCTTGCCGTGGCCACCGCGTTCACCGGAATCAAATCCCATGGAACATGTGTGGGATATGATGACGAGGAGACTATCCACTTTGCATCATCCGCCAAAGTCTCTGGCTACAGCACCAAGTGCGACTTGCTTGGAATGAGGAGCCACAACCAGACACCGATCATCTCATTTTGTCGATGCCTAGATGTATACAGAAGTATCTGGATAATGTGTCATCAGATAAGTTCCCTGTAAATCTGGGCGTTCCCCAGAGCTCCATATTAGGTCCTTTAATGTTCCTCCTTTTTGTAAATGACTTTCCAGATTTCATTTCAAGGGGAAAAGTTACATTCAATGCTGATAATACGACGATCACTGTATCTGGAAGTTCTGATTGTATGATTTGTATAAAAAACCTCCTAAATCACGGGCTACCAGTAATTATTTTAGTAAGGTTAGAACATCATCAGAATGCAAATAAGAAGACCAAAGGGACGTAAAGTGTTAAGTTGCGCGTGTGCCTCTGACAGTTGCCACTAACATATTTAGTAGTAGTATCTCTTTTCCTCTATCACAATGGCCAAATGGTTGGCATCAAACAGAGTATAATTTAAATGGAGGGAAACACAAAAACTGGCATGAAGCCATCGGCGTCAGCGTTCGGTGAGAACAAAAAGCTTTCATCGGAAACTGATGCATACAAAAAACAGGAAATGCAGGCAGTGAAAAAACAGACAAAGGCAAGTGCTTAATCGTAACACGGCCGAAATTTTTTTAATTTGCCCCCATTGGAAGAACGCACAGGTTATTGGCGGGCGGAAAAAATGCGAATACAGTGAGTGCCGTAAACAAAAGGTGGATTTCCACTACAACAGGAAATGTACAATGGCTTATTCGGGAGGCAGGCAAAAATAGTTAGGACTGTTTGATGTGGATACCAACAGCTATAAATAGAGTTTAAGGAATCAGTTTCTAATAAGCCTATTGTAATTCACACCTTTTTAATTGAATGATCAATCCTAATTATGAGAAGCTCTCTTCGAAGTAAATTCTACTTGTAGTACCCTCGTATCTCACCACACCCACCAGTTCAAAGCGCGCACGCAACGAAGGAAAGCGGCTCACCACGCCCCCCTACCTTCCTCTTCTCTGGTCGCCTATAGCCTCTCATTTTCTTCGAAGCCAAGTTGTTGCAATAATTGAGTGATACATAGGGAGAGGGAGCTACTTAATTCGAGAATACCTACACATAGACCCACGTTGCTATCCCAAGCAACCGAGTCCAATGTTTCAGCGTTATCCCGAACGTCTTTGTTCGTCCTTGGTATGGAGTTGGCTATCACAAGCTAGGTCCAGGTTGCTACCCCAAACAACAGTGTCAGATCGTTATCTCAAACGGTGAGGCATCCATACTATTCATTCAACTTGCCCCTAAAACAGATCGGTTAGTTGACAATTACCTGATGGTGACGCCTCTTTCTAATTCTGCTCCGCGACGAAAGGAACCTTCAAGGCGACCGTTCCTTGACATCTCGCCGACAATGCACCTCTATCGGCCAACCTTTGGTCCAGTTGTCTAATTCTATGTTCAACGGTTCATCGACACTGCTGAAAACGTAAAAATCGATGCGCGAACCCGATTGCATGTTAATTGTTTGGCATGAGAACGAGGAATGAGATGTTATTGGCAGGAAGAGAGGAGGTGAGCCGTTCTCCTCTGCGTGCGCGCTTTGGGTTTGGTGAGATACGAGTGTACTACAAGTAGAATTTACTTCGCCGAGACCAGAAAATAATAAATATTTTCCAGCAGATTCGTATTTTTGTCTGTCATATATTCTGCCACGAAATGAGGACTTCTTGTTTGTCTGGCCGCCAAAACAGTTTCGTAAAGTACTCATTGCAGGTCATCTGCATAGATTATGGATTTACAGTTTATTAACAGAGAAAAGGAAGCAGAAAATTCAAAATTTGTGTGAATTACCCAAGTACTTTATTTCATTTGTTTCACAGCACCTCAACTTGATTGTATGACCCACATACAGTAGATAACCTTCCTGCATTATAGCATCTCTTTTATATCAAATGTTATTGTCATTGCATCATTACTATACAGCTAGTTGCTTGCACTGTTATAATTGCCACTTTTCACAGTGCGTATGTTAAAATCAAATATTGTTAATGTCAGCACTAAATTATTATCGCGGCACATTTATATTATTAATCTAATTGTTATCAAAATCTCTCATGATCCCGCGTTCATTCCTGAACATATATCGAAATTGTATTATTTCGTCCATCTGTACAAACAAATTATTCCATGGAACGTAATTGATTTTAAACATACCAACAAGTTGGCAGCAGACATAGTATTTAATGCAGATCTGTAATTAATTATTATCAGCCATGGGTAAATGGAAATGATTGCAATTCAACCGTGTGTATTGGATGGCTGATAAACATATTTTGATATTTATTACGCGTGGCTGTTGAATTATTTATTTGGTCAGATCGATAGTTATTTAATACTTTACAAATGATGCATCGGATTATGTAATTGTATGTTTTACTGTTTAATTACACATTATATTATGAGGCTTGAAGCTATCAAAATATCATTGGTAAGATCTTACTTCGTATGGTAGAATGCGGAAAGTTTTAGTAACGTATTTTGAAAAGTAATGCGACATTGGACCTTTCCATTGTATTAGATTGCATCTTGTTAGCAATCTAATAAAATACTGATATTTATGGTTTGTTTAACAAGGAATTCAACGGTGACCTTGAATTACCGTCAAGGTTAATTTACCGTCAACGTTATATTTCCAAATAGAAACCCCTGTTTTTGATGCCGGCTATCGAAAGAACATTTAGAGTCCAAGGTCAGGATGACTACTAAAGTTCAAATGGAGATGTTTGCGGGTAGTAAAACCTATAAATCTCACAGTAATCGGGATGAAAATAAGTATCAGCGTCAGTTCTGTAGCAAATTTGACGACTGATCTTTGATTTGACCTTGAACTTGACTGTCAAGGTTATTTTTTTAATAGAAGCCCGCAGAAACAATATCGATTAAAAATCATTTGCAACGAACACCGTAATTTAAACTTACCCAAAGATCTGACCATGCCAGTTATTTTCGTCACTATTTGCGTGAGTTTTCCTAGCAACACATATTTGACCTTTATGTGACCTCTAATTCTAATATACATTTGAACATAAAATTTCCGGCTCTCGGGATTGTCGGCATTAAATATGCGTTTCTATTTGGGAAAATAGAGTTCATCTTGAAATTATCTTGAAGGTGAGTTCAAGGACAAATCCAAGATCACCGATACTTGTGAAAATTTACTAAAGGCCTGACCTTACCAGTTATTTTCGTCTGCGAGATTTCTACAGGTTTCCCAAGCAGCACACATTTGACCTTTACATAGCACCCTGACCTTCATATTTAGAAGCAAAATGACCCTCTCTTCTGGTTTACCGCATCAAAAATAAAGATTTTTATTCAAAAAAATAAAGTTGTTTTTGAAATAACTTTGAAGGTCAAGGTTAAATCCAAGGTCAGCGTTCACTTTCTCGTTAAAACTTACCAAAGTCCTGACCTTTATTGATTTCATTACTCATCCTGTGAGATTTATAGAGGATTTCCTACCAGCACACAGTTGATCTTCATTTGACCTTTAGTAGTCATCCGGACGTTGGACTTCGATTGTGTTTGAACGTAGAACTTTCTGTTCTTGGATTGCCGGCCTCAAAAATAGGGGCTTTTATTTGAAAAAATAAGGTTGACAATGGATTTACCTTGAAGGTGAAGGTCAAGCTCAAATTCTAGGTTGACTTTGGGCAAGTTTTAACGTAGGAACTATGGTACTCGCAACAAATTATTTTCAATCGATATTGTTTCTGCGGATTTGTATGTGAAAAAAATTACATTACAAATGGCGTTGACGGTGAGGCTCAAGGTCAAATCCAAGATCACTCGTCGAAATGTACTAACGAACTGACCTTGATATTTATTTTCATCACAAATCCTGTAAAATGTTCCTCTCTTTCGATTGCCGACATCATAAATAGGTATTTCCGTTAAAAAACTAAGTCGACCTTGAAGGTGAAGATCAAGACCAAATCCAAGATCACCGTTCACTCCCTCTTCAAAATTTACCAAAATTCTTACCTTGATAGTTGTTTTCATTACTAATCCTGTGAGATTATACAGGTTTCCCTAGAAAGCACACATTTGACCTTGACATAGCAACCTGACCTTCATATTTGAAGGTAAAATGTTCCGCTCTTTCGATTGCCGGCATCAAAAATAGGGATTTTCAAGTTGACTTTGAAATAACCTTGTTGGTGAAGGTCAAGGTCAAATCCAAGGTCACCGTTGAATTCCTTGCTAAAAGTTACTGAAGACCTGATCTTTTCCAAAAATACCTCACCCGAGAAAAAGCAGGACTTTTGTCACGCTGTAGGTGGGGTGCCCCGCTGCTCGATATGGATTTTTGCTCTATAATGCTTGTCCTGATCCCCACTGGCTCTAACTACGCCGCTAGTTTCTCTCTTGGTAGAGATATCGTGGATCCAGCTAATACATGTTTTTTTTTTTGTTTCAGGGTTCGGACGCAAGTTCAGTGTTGTTCGGCTCGACTCCACCTTCCGCCCCGTCAGCGGCGGCCCGCAACCTAAAGCAACAACAAGCACCGCCTCCGCCGCAACAACGGCCGCCCGCCGACTTTCCAACCGCTGCGGCCGCAGCAACGGCCGCCTCCGCAGCGGCAGCGTTGCCGCCCGGCCTGACGCCGTCTTCGGGCGGACTGTCCGCCCCGGGCGCGATCGCCGGCTCGCCTGTGCCCGCGCCAACGCCGCCCAACCTGCCGGTGCCGTCGCCGGCGCCCGCCCAGCAGCCGCCTCAGTTGCCGCCCCCGTCGATACCGGTGTCAGCGGCGGCCGTTGCGGCAGTCGGATCGCCGACGGCGCATCATGGAAAGCCGGGCGCTACGCAGGGTACGTTTTATGCAGCTACTTATGCAATAATAAAATCTCTGGTGAAATGCGTCTATACAAGATCGTTAGCCTGATGTATCAGCACCTGTACTGTGAGTATATTCTTCTTTTCCAGGCGACATCCTTCCACCACCAGCAGGCGTGCCGCCGGTCACGGCATCGTTACCGGTCTCCGCAGCCGGCCAGCCACCGTGCCCGGCACCGACCCCGCAAGGCCTGCCTCCCACGGCGCCCGTGTCGATGCCCCAATCCGCCGCCGCAGCTCCGGTTGCCGCCCATCATCCGCATCCCGTGGAGGCGGCGCCGGCTGGTGTACCGCCCATGGGCGGACACGCAGTGCGGACGGACAGTCCGGCGGTGGCGACGTCTGCGAACGCAGCGGTTGCTCCATCTCTCGGTAAGTATTGTCAAGTTGCATATTAGAAAAAGGTCCAGGAACAGTCAGAGACAAGTCGTATCATTTTTAGCACTAACCTCTTAAAGGATTTTGCCGCGTTCGCCGCCCACCTTGCACATCCCGAGCAACATACACCTTCATCGCAAGTTGTGACGAATTTGTTTTTTTTTCAAATAAAAAATTCCTTGTGCCTGAAAAAAATATGTGAACCTTCGTACTTCAATATTCGCAGACAGGTGGTTTATCCAACTTGGACGTTCAATAAAAATGTTGGCGAGCAAAGTATTTTGTTTTTCTCGGCGAAGGGCCTTTCCATATACCTTCAAGACTATAATTCCGTTGTAAAAACTACGCCAGTCATTGCTTATCCTAACATTATTTATTCTATTCCAGGTCAATACCACCATCCGGCATACACGCCGCACCACCCGCATCACCATCAGCAGCACCATCAACCGCTGTACGCTCCATACGCGACCGCTACGACTGGTGCCCCGACCCCGTACAATACTTCCGTCGCCCCAACGCCGTACTCAACACACCAACCGACTGCCATCACAACGGTGGTCGGGGGCAAACCGACGATGGGGCAGCAGCAGCAGCAGCCCACGGGGCTGCAGCAGCCGGATGATGTCAAACCGGTGATTATAGGCGCTGCAGGACATCCGCAACAGCAACCGCCCCAACCGCCTCCGACGCAAGTCACTAAGGGACCTAGTCCTGTCAGGGAGGTCAGGGAGAGCTATAGGTTAGCATTTATTAGTTATTACCTGGTTAAAAAGTCAAAAAACGAAAATTGGGTCTACATTATCACGCTCAAAAAATATTTCTGTTGGTGTACCACAAGGTAGTAAACTAGGTCCACTACTATTTACTTTATACATTAATGATGATACATTAATATACGTATCTGATGAAAATATTGACACTGCTTTAAAAATGCTAAATTCTGACTTGGCAAAAATCATAAATTGGTTGAATGTAAATAAAATTGAATGCTTCTAAATCAAAATGTGTGCCAGTAGGGAAATACCTAAATGAAAATACTATTACAGTTAGGATAAATGATGAAATAATTGATAATGTTGAATCAATTAAATATGTAGGCATATACGAGTATATTGATAGTAAACTAAAGTTTGAGGATCACTATAAAAATTATTTCAAAACTTGCCAAAAAACAAATTATACTTGTATAGGGATTCTCATACCCTTGGTACATATTCGAAAAAAAATAGTTTATTTTGTTTTATTATTCTCAAAATTACAAGTCCTGCAAAATGAAGCTATAAGCATAATATTGAATAAAAATAAGAACACCAAAATAAAATGTATATAACAAGAATTGCAGTGGTTGAATATAAAAAATTCTTATTTTTATATTTAAAATAAAAAATCATCTTGTGTCACAATTACCACAATTATTACACAAGAGGAAATATGGATTCTCATTTATAAAATTGCAATAGTAATATGAGAAGCAAATAAATATGTCAGAAAGGATTACTTGAATTTAATAAAATAAACAATGATATAAAGTCTAGTTGTAATTTAAAGAAATTAGAGAATTTTTTTTTTCATGGACAGTGAAAATTCTTAGAGGGTTCTCTAAATAGTATCTGTATATTATGAATTGTTGTAGTTTTTTAAAAGAATGTAATTGTAGCAATCATGCTAAATAAATCTTAAAGTGAAAAAATTTTTAGACGCTGCTTTTTTTCTTGAGACTCTCCTCTAATCATGCTTAGTATGCAATGGAATTTTTTTATATGATCTGCACTCACTTTTGCAATTTAGATCTAGTTAGAATATACAGAACGTCCCATTTTAATCTCCCCACCTAAATATATCGAAAACTATGCATCCTATCAAAAAGGTTTAAACAAAAGTTGTAGGGCTTCGAGGGGGCCAAACCATGGTGACCTTGACTATGACCACGATTTTTCAAGGTAATTTTAAGGTCAAGCTATTCGCTTTCAAATGTTACTTCCTCTTTTTTATACCGGAATTTCAAAGATGAGTAATTTTTACGCCTAAATATGACCAAGGTCAAATCAATACAAAGTTGTGAGCTTTGTGGGGGTCACCTAAAGGTGAGCATGACCATGACCTTGACCATCATATTCAGGGTCATGTCAAAATGTGTACTTTTGAAATTAAATTCCTTGTTCTTTCCAATTTTGCCATAAAAGTCTAAGATTGACATGACTTCTACTTCGAAGTCAAGGTCACATTTCCTGTTTTTTCCACCACCAGGGGTTTTTTAAAAAGTTTGACTTGACATTGAAGGTCATGATCAAGGTCACCTTTGGGTAACCCCCACAAATGCGCTGTCGAAAATTTTTACTAGAGCGAATTATTGTTTTCAATGACTTTACTTGAGCTTGAATTGACCTTGACGGTCATGGCTAAGGTCATATTCGGACGTAGAATTTTCTCCTCTTTCGAATTCCGGTGTAAGAAAGGGGGTTCTGTTTGAAATTATTCGCTTTACAATGAAATGACCTTGAAGGTAGTGTTGAAGGTCATGGTCATTTACCGTCTAGAAACCGTGAAACTTTTGTGCGTTATTTTCGAAATATTTAGGTGGGATATTGATTACCTGTTGTACATGGGGGTGTCCCAGTCTATGTGGATAATATCTCGAATTCATGCAGAATACGAGAAAAAAAAGATAATGTGAACACTCATGTTCCAGAAACATGCAGAGTAGTACAGAATATTGGTGGGAAAATTTAAAGACATATCAAGCTCATTTTTCGTGCAAAAATCACTGAAGTCGCGGACTGATTGTTGTTGTTTATACGTCTATAACGCGGTATCCTTTGAAGGGAAAGGAATGCATTGATTTATGTGGTTTGAACCTAGAATACGCGTATGGTTTTAAGAAAGCATGTTCAGAAAAAAGGCGTGTTGAAAATCCATCACTGACGTGTTTTTCTAAATAACAGATTGATGTAGATACCGCTTTACTATATATATCAAAATGTCTTATTGCAGCAACGTAAGCAGTCTGAGTCGAAGTACGGTCTCGACGTGTTCCACCATGGTGCCTCCGTCGTCGACAGCAGCGGTGGTCAGCTCCGCGCTGACCGCCTCCACGGTAGCAGCTTTAACCTCTAGTCTTTCAACAGCGCCGCCCAGCGCCAACGTCATCACGAGCAAACCGCAATGGCCGCCGCCTGCGCAGCAGCAACCGCCCCCTGCGTCGATAGCCCCGCCCGCCGTACCACAGGTCGTACCGCAGGTGCAAACGCCTGCTGCCCCCACTGCGGCGCCCGTCGCTACGCGGTTAACGCCGCCTCCAGCCACCAGGCCGACGCCGCCCCTTCATGCCGGGTATCCACCGCCTGCCGCTGGGCAGACCACCACTGGTATGTTTGAACAAGTTTTTTTAAGGCCGCGTCAATTGTCTCGAGAATTTTCACAAAACGCTCTGGAAATCCTGAGAAATATTCGAAAAGATTTCCTAAAATTGGAGCATGTCGAATATTCACTACGGAATATCAGATTTGAGATAAATTGAAGCGCGATGAAGACTACAGAAAATTTGTAATAACTCTAAAGTGAAAATAATAATAATGATAATATTTATTCGCTAAAATACCAAAAATGGGCAAATAAATATGAAAAAATCATAGAAGGAATCGCCTGTGTGTGCATTATATCTTAATACTTAAAAATCAGTCATATGTGTATAACAATTATTGTTGATTCTAAAAAGTATTAATACAATTGGAATTTTGTAGTTTTAGTTTTCTATATTATTTTGTATAGTCATTCGCTGCACAGTACAAACCCATCTTCAATTTTCGTCTAAATTTTTTCCAAAATTAAGTGTTTTTATTTCGTTTGGTACTACATTATACAGGGTGGCCCATCCAAGTGTGGACGGAATATTACTCATAAACAAATACATTTTGGGAAAATCGATTTTTAGGATGTTATACATGACATTTGAGGGCACATTTGTAAAATATTGGCCATTATACTGGGTGTCCCAATTTCGACCTACATATCAAAGTTGTGATTTTCCAAATGGAATGTCTCAAATTTTATTGCATTTTTGGATAAACCAAGTCAAAAGAAGAAGATTGATATAACATACTATGGGGTTTTGGTCATTAGCTACTTCGGCAACCGATCAATCCGCCATTTTTAAATTTGGAGTGCTGAATTTTGTATCAAAAAAAACTTACACACCTCAGCTTTTATCTCATTTGTTACTTTTCAGAATTTCCATTTTCAGCTCATACAGGGTGGTCAAAAACGCGAATTGTTCTTTTTCTCAAAAATTTCAAATGCATCACCCTGTATATTTGTGCAAGTTTGGATTCAATTTTTTATAAGCTTTTTTCCCCTAAAATATCGCATCATCCTTGGAAACAAATAAATTGTTGATTAGTTAAAAACTGTCAAAATTAGCTTAGTGAGCATTATAATGAAAACGTGTTTGAAAATGAATTTTTCTCAAGAAGAAATGTGAGTATGGTGATCGTTTTGGGCGAAGCCCAAAGAAATAGTTTCCTAGCATCTCGCATGTAAGTTTTTGTTGATACAAAATTCAGCACTCTAAATTTCAAAATGCCGGATTGAGGGGTTACCGAATTGGGGTGTTTTTCTAGACAAAATACCTTATATCTCGATAGCTAATCACCAAAACTCCATAGTATGTTATATCAATCTTATTCTTTTGAATTGGTTTATCCAAATATGCAATAAATTTTGAGGCATTCCATTTAAAAAATTACAACTTTGATATGTAGGTCGAAATTGGGGCACCCTGTATAATGGCCAATATTTTAGAAATGTGCTCTCAAATGTCATGTATAACATCTTATAAATAGTTTTTTCCAAAATGTATTTGTTTATGAGAATATTCCGTCCACACATGGATCAGGACCACCCTGTATAATTTAGCTGCTAAGAATTTAAATGATTTTTTGAATAATGTTTTGTGTGGTCTTTGGATATTAGATGAGCCTTTTCGAAATCGTGTGTTATGCTCCTGTTTATGTTTATTTTTTTTAATATTGGCTGTTAAATTTTCTCCAACATAAGTGAAAAAATTTATAAATGTATCGGATATTTGTTGTTTATCTGTTGATATTGTTCCATCACCATCCTTAATTTCATCAATATTTGGCTTCACTCGAACCTTTTTGTCAGTTAAATGATCGACAACCGACCACAGTTTTGTTAGGTCAGATTTGGCATCTTGTAATTTCTTTAGACAAAATTGGCGTTTTGCTCTAACTAGATTGATAACAATATTTTTATATTCGTTATATTTTATTATCATATTATAAATGATAGGAAACAATATACAAAATCAAAAAATTGTGTAACAGTTCTCATGAGGGAAAAGAAAAAATACTATGATAATAATATCGATAGCAATACAAATTATTTAATTACGTGGAAAACATTAAAAAATATTGTTTCTGAAGATAGAAAGCCTCAATTATCTCAAATGCGGTTCGAAGATGGGGTAGTGACAGAAAAAATAATTACAGCAGAAAGTATGATCACTTACTCTATAGATCGTATAAATCAAATAGACGAAGACGATTGATGACGGTGATTCAAACTTATGTTTGTAATTATATCTTGATTCATCAATGAATCAATTTAGGACAATAAACACCAACAATCAAAGAAAAGCCGTCTCATAATTGAAATCTAATAAAAATCCTAGTCAGTCACTATTTGTGTGGATGGTCCTAGACCGAGACTCCCCAAACCGCAGGCCGAAATACTTGGGTCATCAACTAACCAAACATTGGAACATGAACTTGAAAGTTAACTTAAGCTAGTTGTCCATTCTGAAACACTAATAAAATATTCTATTTCAGGCATGTTCACCGCCCCCACACTGCCTCCCCCACCTCCAGCTCCGGCGCCCGTTCCTGTGGCGGTGTCTCAACAGAGTCCCATAGCGCCCGCCCCCACGGTGACTGCGGTACCACCCACTGTAGCCGCACCGGCGGCCGCCGCCCCCAATCCCAACCCGTTCTCAGCGGAGAGTCTCTTCCAGAGCGGGAAGTACCAAACGAGTGAGTATAATTTGTTATTAGACTTAACAATAAAGCACTGTTTTTTTTTTGAAAGGGTACACATTTTATTATGCATTCTTTCTTCAATCGAGACTTGCTAACAAATATAAGTACAGCTCTGAAATTGTGTGTGAATATTCCTCTTTTACGGAAGAATGAAACAAGTGATTATTTTTGTTCTTATCACTTTTCCTTTTCGAAAAATTTATGATTTTCTTGAAGCCTCGTCTCGCAGCAAGTGGAGTTTTCAAGAAAAGCAAAGATTTTTCTAAAAGGAAAAATGATAAGAACAAAAGTAATCAATCGTTTCATTCTTCCATAAAAGAGGAATATTCACACACAATTTCAGCGCTGTACTTATATTTGTTAACAAGTTCCTTTTGAAGATAAAATGCACAATAAAAGCACAAAAAGTAAAAACATTGTTTTTTCCATCTCTATACATACCATGAAATTGTCAGATGAAAAGGATTTAGAACAAAACATCTAAAAAAAGGGACGTGCCACCTTAATCGAATAATTTTGAACAGTTTTTGTTGAAATGGTATCCATTTAACTTGATAATATTTTTTTCAAATAATTTTTAATAACGTAAACTAACTCTCTTATTATGCAACTTTCATGCAGGTGGTTTATCAACTTTTTTTGACGAGTTCTACAAACTGTTAAAATAAATGACTCAACTGTATTTTATTGGCGGCTATAAAGATCGGTGCAATTCGGAAAACTATCCGATAAGTTTTATCAACTGTACACAAACCACTTCACGAGCTACTTGTTCAACTAAGTGGCACGTATTATAGAGGTCGTTTATACGTTTAAATACCTGGAATTAGCAAACACTTGCCTTGAGGATAGCACTTCAGTTTGAAAACGTTTTTGCTTTGTAGTAGGAAATACTTGAATTGCATGTTTAGATTCTGAACTACACGAGAAAACACTGTTTATTGGAAAATATATTTGAATAGTTGTAAGGAGGATAGGCCAAAGATCAAAATGATGCAAAGAAATATTTCCAATGTCGAAAATTGAAAATCTGTCATAGCCCCAAACTTTGCTAAAAAAACCTGACTTTGCTCACTCTGTATTTGTGGATAAATGAAAGAAATATATCGGTCAAGCCCTGCTCGTGTTCTCAAAGAGTTGGTCAAGAACCTCCCGAATACCGCAACGTGATATCTCTTTCCGTTCCAAAATTATAGAGATTGAATTTGGCTGAAATTTTCCATGTTGCCAAGCAACTGTCCACCTGCTTATCACAAGGGTGAGCAGAAAAATTCAGCCGACGATTTTTTAGAATGGGAAGGCCTGCATATAGCTTTCTCAAGGCCGCGCGTCCCTTTTTTCGCTTTTTTTCAACTACCTGTTTACAACACTATTATAAATTCTTTTCATCTGATTACTTCGTGATGTGTAGAGATGACTAAAAAACATCGTTTTTAATTTTCTTTTGTCATTGAATGTTTTTTTTGCATTTTGAATGAAACAAGTGATGACTTTTATTCTTATCACTTTTTCTCTTCGAAAAATCTTTACTTTTCTTTAAAACTCAACTTGCTGCGAGACGAGACTTCAAGAAAATCAAAAATGTTCCGAATAGGAAAAGTGATAAGAACAAAAGTAGTCACTTGTTTCATTCTTCCATAAAAGGGGATTATTCGCACACAATTTCAAAGCTGTACTTATATTTGTAAACAAGTTCCGGTTGAAGAAAACGTGCAAAATAAAATGCACATAAACTGCATTTTTTAACAAAACAAAAAAAATGAAAACATTGTTTTTCAGTCATCTCTATACACACCATGAAATTATCAGATGCTAACAGGTACTTGAAAAAAATCTAAAAAAGGGACGTGCCACCTTAACTTTTCTATCTCTTCTTCTGACTTTCCTTATTGCGTACGAATCCCATTAAGTGGCTGATTTTTTGCATGCATTTCAAGCTATTTAGGGTTAACGCATTATTATCTCTGTCTACACATCTATCACATTTTGTTAATAATATGTGAATGAGTTTCTAACACATATATTTCTTATTCCCCAGATCAAGCGGACATGTTGCGACGAGAGCTGGACAACAGGTTTCTGGCGTCTCAGGATCGTTCGTTAGGCGTAGCTCCCCCTCCATATTTGAGGACGGAGATGCATCAACATCAACACCACCACACGCATGTCCATCAACATACCTCATTACTTCCACCGACGGCAGCTTCCTCATTATATCCATCTCCATTGGTAAGTTTGCATAACCTGAAATATTTTGACGCTCAAGGATGTAAAAATTCGGTCATGGCACGTTGTCTCCACTCCACCTCATTTGTAACACGCTTTTATAAGCTTAGCATGTATGTATGTATGTATGTATGTATGTATGTATGTATGTATGCATGTATGTAATGTATGTATGTATGTGTGTATGTATGTATGTATGCATGAATGTATGTATGTATCTATGTATGCATGCATGTAATGTATGTGTGTATGTATGTGTGTATGTATGTGTGTATGTATGTATGTATGTATGTATGTATGTATGTATGTATGTGTGTATGTATGTATGTATGTATGTATGTATGTATGCATGTATGTAATGTATGTATGTATGTGTGTATGTATGTATGTATGCATGAATGTATGTATGTATGAATGTATATATCTATGTATGCATGCATGTAATGTATGTGTGTATGTATGTGTGTATGTATATATGTATGTAATGTATGTATGTATGTGTATGTATGTATGTATGTATAATAACTCTTTGTAATTAAAAATTGTTTTCTACTTTTTAGTTCTGTTAGCTATAAAAACGTGTTTTTTTAGTTTTTGCAACTATTATTCATCAAATATACATGTATAACTCTATGTTATCACATCTCGTCAATGGCGGCAGCTGCTGAGAAAAAGCTAGGCTATTTGTTTAGAGCCAAGAAGTACTTTTCTCAGCATGACCTCCTCACTCTATTCAAGGCACAGAAAATACCTAGCCTCGAGTATTTCTCACTTGTTTGGGGTGCTGCCGCCCCGGCTACATTATTTCCGCTCGATGCTGTCCAGAGGTGGGCTGTCCGACTCTTCTCTAACAGACAGTCTCGGGATCCTTCCTGCCTGCTCGGCTACATCGTTATAAAAAGTGTTGTAACTGCGTTTTTACATCCTATTTTTGTATTGCATACGTAGCAAATTTTACCAGGCCGAAACTCCTGTAAAATTGCTAGTAAAATGATCAATTAGTTTTCACAATACCTCTTTTCTTTTAAGTCTATGTCACCAATGGAACGCCTTAGCAGGAGAACGCAAAGTTGTGTGAGTATTTTAAAATAATCAACTACCTTACAATAAACTGATAACTTGCTTCGCTATACGAAAATTGTTCTTCCAACGAACACACTTCCTAGTTATAGAGTTACATTCAACAATAACTAGAGATAATAAAAGTCTATCCATTGCGAAACGCATCACATCTTTTTGTAAATACTGGTAACTGGTTTTATTTTTATATTTTACCAGCAATTTTACCGTCTTCAACAGCTGTCATATTTTATAATTCTGAAATTGAAGAATTCTTTTTCCAAAATATTTCTGTTATTATCAGAAACAGTTTAAATTAGACAATTGCATTTTTTTGCAGTTGTTAAACATACAGGTGACTTTTATAATAATTATTATTGTAGAATAGTAACATCATGAAATGATTCCACATTTTTTATAGAATTTTTAGTAAAATAGTGGGACAACTTACAATAAAAAAGATATTAAAAATATTAGCATAATTTCCGTATAATACACGGTCATTTTCAATAAAAAAAGAAGATATTTAATTTTTTTAAGGCGGGCCAGTATAATACCGGATAGCTTAATTTTAATTGTATTGCAACAGTCATAGTTATCTGATAGTCTATAACATGCACTTCTTCTTATTATAATAATACAAAAAAATACAGCCTGATGAATATTAAAAAAGCGATTATCTCAATATGGTATATTTGAAGTTGTCTTACTATCATTCTGGAGCGACGATATACCGAAGCTTCGTGATTGTTTATATGTATTTAAATGTATACATCTAAATAATGGACGTCGTTTCAGTTCAAGGATATTCCAAAAATTGGCGGAGTGGATTCGCCGTTCTACCGACAAAACTTAGGACTTCCTACTGGGTATCCGGGTTATACGCCCGGTTTAATTCATCCTGGATTAACAACAGGCCCAACGCCGTTTGTGCCTCCTAATCACCTGCCTACTTTTCAACCTAAGGTAAGAATGTTCAACTCCTGAATTATGGTCACTGGATCTAAACACGCTTCTTTTTTGATTTAATCTGCTGGATCATTTTAAATGTGTAAACTTCTTTCTCTTATATCATATTAAGCGAAAATACCCCTGGTTTGCGAAATAATTGTAAAGTCTGGTTTTATTATTCATTAATGTAAGGAAGAAAATGGCTTGCAAAATAAAACCCCCTGATATTCCCGTCAAAATTAAATATAAATCATTAAGTTCCATGTTTTTAAAGGCTGTAAACAGAAATGAGATTATTAAACATGTCAGTTTATTTGAAGACAACTGTTCACCCGGTTTTGATGGAATACAAACGAAAATTATAAAGCAATATCATTTGTACTTAATTGACCCATTAGTTCACATCATAAATCTAATTTTTAAAACTGGCTGTGTACCCCAATCCTATAAAACGACTATTGTTACCCCAATATATAAATCTGGATATAAAACTAAAATTACAAATTTTCGTCCAATTGGAGTTATTACGAATTTCGCTAAAATATTCGAATTGTGTCTTGAAGAGAGATTATCAAGCTGTTTAACTAGTAATAATGTTTTGTCATAAAATCAATTTGGTTTTGGACATGACATTATAATTATATAGATTGTCAAATAATTATTGACCTGGATTTATTGTATTTTATTTATTTTACTATTTTGCTATTAAAATGTTACATTACACATTATTTAAGATTGGTGCATACGGATATTAATTTATCTAGGTACCACATAAGAAAAACTGTACTTGTATAATAAAATAAAAAAATAATTCCGGAAGATAAATGTTATTTTTATGCACAAAAGGATGAGTTACGTTTTTTCTCCTAAACAAATTCAAACATTCAGTATTTGTGAGTAATTCGCAATAAAAGATGATAGACACATCCGCTTTGTTTTAAAATGTGTATAGTAACGTATGTTTTTCGAATATCGTAGCGCATTTGATCAATTAATCACAAATACGAAATGTTTGAATTTGTTTAGAAGAAAAAAACGTAACCTTTGTTTTTCGCATAAAAATATCATTCAACTTCCGGAATGGTTTGTGATTCATATCGGCAAGGTAAGCACCTGTATTTTGCTATAAAATGCCCTTTGAACTCACCCTGTATATTGGTCAATAAAGTAGTAGTGAAGGCCGGAAAACAGGTGTTTTGGGATAAACAATTAGAAATTCTCAAAAAACTTCTGGACCAATGTACTCCAATTTTGTTGTTATTTAGAAGTATGGATCCTATGGATTTGAACCATTTCAAGTATCAAGTATATATAAATCTTTTATGAAAAGTTTTTTCGTTCCTTTCAACATTTCCAATTGAATCACAAAAAAAAACGTTTTCTCATTCTTTGTTGACAAATAAAAAGTTTTTCCACAAAAATTTATGCATCCACGTTTTAAATAACTTGCACCAATAAAACCAGACTTTACAATTATTTGGGGAAATTTGCTAATATGATTAGACTAATATGGCGTTGTAGCTGTGTGCATTATTTCACTCATCATCATCATCAAAAATGATACTTTTTGCTTATTTTCTCTTTGATTCGCCCATTAATAATCAAGACATATTCGAATCATCCCTTACCATACAAAATGTGTTTTATTTGTGTCCGAACCTGACCAATTTTGCATGTGCTCTGCATAATGGCTAACAACCTAACGCTTGGTTTTTCTTTGTCCACAGTCGTTGACACCCCAAGATCCAACAAAACCGAGAATAGTGGTACGTAAATATTTACCGTTCTACGTGGTTCAAGTCTCAAACAATGACAATTTTAATAACGTATCACTTGCATTTTGATAAATTGCTCAAGCGGACAAAAGTTTGGAAACCAATATTAACATTATTATTAACTATTTCATATGAACGAGTCATTGAATATATTGAAGAAAATAAGATATTGACAAAATTTCAAGCAGAGTTTAGAAAAAAGTATTCCACTGAAACAGCAATTCAAATGGTAGTAGAAGAATGGAGGCGAAATATGAATGAAAAAAGTTTACAGCAACATTGTTCTTAGATATCAAGAGAATATTTGCATTGCTGTGGATTTCAAGGTTCGGTATGCAACTTGTTACAAAAGTCAAAGAACTAAAATTGGCAATACATTATCAAACATTTCGGTAGGTGTGGGACAGGGTAGTAAATTAGGTCCATTACTATTTATTTTATATATTAACGATATTCCAACACTGCAAAATTCAACTATTTGCTGATAATACACTATATAGTATTCATAGTTAATTGCCTTAACTGTTAGGTGAAGATATCCTTTTAATTTCTTTGGGTAGAAGGCAAATTATTGCAAAAGTACACTCTTATAACTTAAACTCTCAAGCTTTCGAAAATCTGTGTCTTCATCGTCTGGAGTAAGTCGGCTAGATTGTTGCTGAAATTGGGAACACATAGTCGACGAATAAAAAACTGGACAGATGAGTGTCGATTAGGTCGGAATTATTTTATTATTAAATCCGTTTTGAAAGGTTTTTTTAATTAAACGTTGACTGATTTTGGAATAAATTTGGACATTTTAAAACTATCAAATATTGAAAATTCTTTCGAGATTTCATCTTTTTTCCACTGATAACCTACGCATTATCCAATACGTCGTAATCGAACCTCATCAGTCCAGTTTTTTACTCGTCGACTATGTGTCCCTTTGTTTAAGAACAATTTCAGCAACAATCTCGCCGACTTACTCCAGTCGATGAAGTCATAGAACTTTGAAAGCTTGAGAGTTTAAGTTATAAGAGTGTACTTTTGCAATACTTTGTCTTCTAAGCAAAGAAATTAAAAACTATATGAGAAAAAAAATAGTCCTTAATAATAGTGAATAAAAAATTAGCGCACTTTTTAAAAATTACTAAGAATGTTTCCAAACTTTTGTCCGCTACTGTCTAATTATTCATAAATTGAGATCTCGTGCCACTTTAAACATGTGCAAGTCAAATAATGAGAACGTTTTTACTGATTTTAATTTTATTTCATCTTCCTTCCCTTTTAAACAGTTTTTGACTTCTTTAAACATGTATCTTGTAGAGTATCTAATATCAATAGATATTTTTAGCTCGATCAATATGAAAATATGCTGATTAAAAGGGTCACTTTTGAACCTGGCATTGATTATCTTGGGACAGCTTCGTTGAAGCTGAGAATAAAGCTTAAGATGAAACTGTGCCTGCTTTTTGCTTTTATTGTGCTGTGTCATCGGATTCATGTCGCTTCCATCTCAAGTATCAATATTTACGCGATCAGTAAATAATTAAATTCATCCATTATGGAAAAATTTTCCATATCTACTTATAGTCAATAAAGCTGCTCTCAGGCAAATAATACAATGTTCAATCCACGAATGTGGTCTGAGTGATGCGAAACTGACCATGCAAGGTGTCATTGGCTGCAGTGATGTACTTTCAGTCACTTTTCCCAACAATCACCTCATGATCTAGGTCGTAGATTGAACTGGTAGCAGGTTAATAATATTATCAGTACAATTAGCAACCGCATATTCATCTTTTTATTAGGTTTTAGAATTTTACAGAAAAGGTCATAAACCCAACGATATTTTATCTCATATATTTTAATGTGGTTTTAACCATCAGACCTTGTGTTTTATATACAGGGTGGCCCAACGAAAAGCTCGCACCCTTGTTTGTGACTCTCCTGATATATTTCGAGAATAGCCCTCGGACACGTTAATTTTGATTTTTGGGTGGACATCTTTTCAACTATAGCCGTACAATACAGGGTCATCCAAAAATAAAATATTGCGTTACACTTTAGATTTTTAAATGAAAACCCCATTTTTTTCATTTTTAGTTTCTCCACGATGTTTTTACTAACTTTTAATAAAATGTATACCCATCTTGAATCGTTGTGAAGCTATTTGAGTTTATAATAAAATGCTAGAAATTGTGATAATAATGGATTAAAGATAATCAATATAGCTCCCATAGTAACAAGACTTTTCTTTAAAATTAAAAACAAGTCTCCGAGTATTGAAAAAACAAAAAACAACTTACACGCACATTTTTTCCTAGGCCAAATCAGTGTATCCGAAGAGCGATAGGATGAACTAGCTTATCCTAGTCTAAACTGATTTGTCCTGTAGAGCAATTAAGAATAATTACGCAAAACTGATTTGTCCTAGTGTGCAAGTCTGCATACAGTCTCTTCACAAAAGTAATGTCTTCACTACTAATTGAAAAAAATACTATTATTACAAACTTGTTTTATTTACTTGTTATTACATGTCAAACTATTATGGCATTTCGAGTTGTACATAACGTTATTTTTCTTGCAAAGGCTTAGATTTGACTACATTTCTTGGTGCAAGTAGACTTGCAGAAATCTTGGCCTGTTCCATCTGATTGTTTGATCGCTGCGGTTCTTAACGAAAGTTCAATGTTTTTGTTCACTTCTTCTTCCAATGAAAATTTTTGTGCGCATATATCAAATTCATTTCTGAAATAAAATAAACAATTACCTGCAATACAATTTTTGTGCTGAACGAGCCAAAGCCACGCAGCTACCTTTCAACGAGTTCAGACTAGTTGAATCTCGAAGCAGTTTAGACTAGAACAAATCAGTTTTTCCTAATCATAATTAATTTGTTTTCTGATAAACTAGTGCATGCTATCGCTCTTAGGATAAACTGATTTGGCCTAGGGAAAACTAGTTTATGCTAAAATCGAGTTTGTCCGGTAACAAATATAATTTCTTTTATAAATAACGTCATTTCTGTAATTTCTGTAATCCGTGGCTCTACAATATGATTTTCGAAAATGCCTGGTCACACATTTATTTTTTCAAGATTTTGCGTATCACCCCCAGCTTTGCTTTAGTGATGGATTGTTATAAAATCGTGTAAATTTCCGATAAATATTTGCATTAAATATTTTTTTGCAAAACTCTCTCGGAAACAAAGTTTGAAAATGCTCAAGTTATAAAATTTCCTACCATAGGTTATGAAGGCTTTTGTCTCTGCATATACGAGCCCCTTCCCACTTCTAAAACAATTTATTTTCTCAAAAGCATTTTAGATACACTCTAGTCGTAAAAAGTACATATTTGAAATCACTTAGACCTATAACTAATAGAACATCTGAACAAATAAACAATGTGCGAATAAATGCGCGAAGTTAACAAAGCAACAATTGAAAGATTACCATTGGGTAACATCACCTTTATTTTTTATTACGGCTGAAATTCTTTGGGGCATAGTGTTAACCAAGTTTTGGGAAAAATTTGGTGTAAAGCAATCCCATATTTCTTGAAGCTTTTGTCTCAGTTCGGTGATTATACGAGCAGGATGTTTTCGTAGAACCTTTTTCATCTCGTGCCACAAAGTTTCAATAGGTGACAGATCTGGACTGCTACAAACCCATTTCAAAACTGGTACATTATTTTCTTCCATCCTTTTTATAGCCTTTTTTGAGGTATGGCACGCTGCACCATCTTGCTGAAACACAAAATCTTGGCCGGATGTCAAACATTCTTCCATCACTGGTAAAAGCGTTTCTTCTAAAATTGCCAAATATTTGTTTGTATCCACATTTCCATCAATAAAATGAAGTTTTCCTACTCCTTTTGATGACACACTGCCCCAGACCATAATGGATGCTGGAAATTTCACTTTTCTCTTCAGACAGTCAACATGGAATGCTTCACTTTTTTGCGAATAACTCTACTGCAATTGTCACCAACACAAACTTCGAATCGGGCCTCAGCACTCCATTGTATTGCACACCATTGTTGAGGTGTCCATTGTCTATGTTCTTTAGCCCATCTAAGCCGATTTTTCTTTTGCAGTGTTGTTAATAGTGGCTTTTCTTTGGCCTATAAACAGATTGTGCAACTTTAGGGTTTTTACTTCACTTTTTTTTATAAGAAAACTTACCTTGCAAGTGCTAAATCCCAGTTTGTGGGCGTCTCTATGAGTTGTAGACCTCGAAATTCTCCTTCCAACAGCGTCACTCCACAGAGCATTTGATTGTACTTTGTTTTCACATATCGTGGCTTAATATTAACTGAATCAGTTACGTTATATCTTCTAACAATATTTCTCACACTGTACCACGATAAGTCTAACAAAGTTGCAATTTCTGAGTTTGGTTTCCCAGATTAAAAAAATTTAATTATCAGTAACCGAATTTTCTCAGTAATAATCTTTCCTCTACCCATTTTGAAAACCTTAACTTCCCAAAACTATTTAAAACGTATTCTGACAGTTGGTGTTTTCTACTATATATTATCAAAATATTCATTGTTAATATTTTAAATCTATAATACCCTGCTACATTTTTATTATTTGTGTTTGATAAGAAAAAAACTAAGATTTCAATAGTTGGGCCAACTGAAGTGGGAAGGGGCTCGTATTACATAACAGATTTGCAAAACTTTCTATCAAAATCGTCTCCTCATGGACAAGTTTTATCTTGTACGAGTCAAATTTATTGTCTTTCAAAATCCTTTGTACTGTTGAGCGTATAAATATCCTGAAGAAGTAGCTAGTCCACGAGTGCTTTGGGTGTTGTCAAGTGCTTTATTTCTAACTGGTCGATTTTCTCGATGGATAATATTAGACATAGATGCAGTTTCTGTACATTTTCTAATCAACTCAGCCACATACTTCCTACCCTTTCTAGAATTGAATAAGTCATTTTTCAATATTTATCACAACTTGGTAGGTAACTTAACAATTTGAAATGAAAGGCAAAGTTTTTTTATGACATACGATGACACTGTCTTATGCCGAATGTTCTTGCCGGTCTCCATGATTATTATTTTTTCCACGCATTCCATTATTATCAGTATTAAGTTAAGAATTTTATTATAAACTCAAATAGCTTCACAACTATTGTTATTAAAGTTATTAAAAACCTCATGGAAAATAAAAAAAATGGAGGTTTCCATTTAAAAATCTAAAGTGTAATGCAGTATCTTATTTTTAGATCACCCTGTATTGATGTTATAGATGAAAAGACGTCCCCCTAGAAATCAAAATTGACGTCTCCGAGCGTTTTTCCCAAAATATACCAGGAGAGTCACAAATAGGGGTCCGACCTTTTCATTGGGCCACCCTGTATATGTGTTATTTGAATTTTAATTTGTATACGTCTCATAGCAACTCACTTTACCTCCTCTATTCAAAAACCCTATTCATAGAGTTATTTCAGTACTATCCCTTGAGGTTATCCTGTTTTGTGTAACATGCATAAGCATATGACAAATCTAATGAATTATTACAATTGTTGTATAATTTCAAAGACGAATAAACGGTTATGTATTTTATTTATATACAAGATTGCAAGAAGAAATTGTAGATGTTTAATCCCACCCGACCGTCCGTAACTTATTTTTTTCTGTTGATAGAAAACTGGGAAATGGAATGCAATGCACGTGCGAGTAGCATGGGAAATCTACCATCATCAGCAGAAAAGCGGCGAGGCGAAAGGAGGCCTCGCGGCAGCTGCTGCAGCTGCAGCCGCGGCGGCCGCTGCAGCCGGCAAACCAACACCATCCGATCTACTTAGGCCTCCCACACACTTGTTTTCACCAGGTATGTGCATCACCTTACTACAGTTTTTTTTCACCCATACGGGTGTAAAATAAGTACCACGACAAACTTAAGGAGAAGGTAGGCTTTGGATTTTCCTCCCAAATAACAAAACCTTACCTATATAAAAGTGTCACCGTTTTTGAGATGTTGAATTTTTTCTTAAATTTTAAAAAACGAACCTTTTCATCTATGGTCTTTAGCTGAATGTACAAATAAGGTTATACTTTGTTCATTTTTTCTATAAAATACTTCTAGATAGTTGCTTGTTTGGAAGGTCTTTATTTTGACGTTTGATTTTTTAAAATCAGTCGATTCGTTCTCGAGAAAATTAGAAAAATCTTCTTGTATTATCACCTAAATTTTTCCCTATTGACATACATTTTGTTTTATTAGTGTTTAATTTAAGTTTATTGACATTTAACCAATTCATAATTTTTATATATATACAGGGTTATCCAAATTAAGTGTCCACCATTAGTAACTTTGTTATTAGTGAAAATACAAAGTTGTTTGAATTAGCAAACTAGTAGCATTTTTAACGCTGGTAAAAATGGGAAATAAAAAAAAACAATTGAGAGTCGTTATTTTGATTTTTTTCAGTAAAATAACATTTTTTTAAATGGAAACCCCTGTATATTATATTTTTTTTCTGTTAAAGCATCAAATTTTAAACAAAAAAGCTTACAATAACTTTTCTCCTAGGTTACAAATTGTTGAAGTTATGGCCTCCAATCTGAAACAATTAAATTGTATCGACAAACGTTATTTTCAACATCAACTTATAATCTTACAAAATACAATAACAATTTTTTTAAAGAAGATGCTCGAAAACACCACCTTGTTCTTCAATACATTTTTGGGCACGTTTTACAACTGCTCGAACTGTCTTAAGTATGGTCCTACCATCTATCTGGGTTATCTTTTCCCTAACTGCAGTCTTTAACGCGTCAAGGTTATCGTACCTTCGCTTGTAAATTTGGTTCTTTAAGTAACCCCACAAGAAGTAATCAAGTGGGTTTAGATCTGGTGATCTGGGAGGCCACTGTATTGGGCCATTTGTTCCTATCCACCGATCATTAAAAGTAGTACTTAGAAAATGATAAGTACCTCTGGAGTTGTGGGCAGGTGCGCCATCTTGCTGAAAATGCAGATGATGTCTACTTATAAGATCCAATTCGTCTAAGAAATTAGTCAGAATTTCTGACATAAATTCCACATATCTTTCACCAGTTAGGGTTCCCTCATAAAAGAACGGGCCAACAATTTTTGAACCAATTATACCGCACCAAACGTTGAAACTGAAACGGACTTGTGGGCCTCTTGGATGTACTAACAAAAGATTTTCTCTTGACCAATAATGGTGGTTTTTTCTATTAAACATTCCAGAATTTGAAAAATTTGATTCATCTGTCCATAAAAGGTAACGAAAGTTATTTACATTTTGGCGACAGAAGCTAAGATACCAATGGCAAAAAACAAGTCTTCTCTCTGGATCCCCTGCCAAAAGCGTTTGAACTGGTCGGTACTTATACGGAATAAATTTGTATTTTTTTAAAATCCTTTGAACAGTACCATAACTGAAATTAGAGTCCTTGAGAATATCTGCTATTGAATTCTCACGATAAGCTTCAAAATATCCAATAACTGCAATTTCCGTGGCCTCGCTTATTATGAATTCTTTTTTTGCCCTTGTTTTAGCAAAAACATTTTCGTTGCCCCTAAATTTTCGATAAAGTCTCGTTCATACGGTTGAATGCGAGCGGGATATAATTCACTGTAGTATTCTCTTGCTCTCAAGGAGGATTTTCTGCACACTAAATAGCATTCTAACATATCACACTTTTCTTCATGGGAGAACATTTTTCTTTAAATTAATGACACAATAAAGCTTATAAACAAGTATTTACACTAATGTTTGACATTATTTGATTTTATCATTGTTTTCCAAAGCCTTCTAGTTGCGAGTATGTCCAGTTTAACAATTTGTCGCTTATCTTAATGCTGTCAAATCGCGAACGCCATGTTGTTTTCATAGCCGTCTTAATATTATAATACTGCAAATAATTAAAAATATTTATCGTTATTTTGACTTTATTTTTGACTTTAGCGGAAAAGTCATTATGAACTTTTTTGTTTAAAATTTGATGCTTTAACAGAAAAAAATATAATATACAGGGGTTTCCATTTAAAAAAATGTTATTTTACTGAAAAAAATCAAAATAACGACTCTCAATTGTTTTTTTTTTTTATTTCTCATTTTTACCAGCGTTAAAAATGCTACTAGTTTGCTAATTCAAACAACTTTGTATTTTCACTAATAACAAAGTTACTAATGGTGGACACTTAATTTGGATAACCCTGTATATAACTATTTAACAGTTATAAAGCAGTGTCCAGATGCTTATGTGCTATATATATATATATATATATATATATAAAAATGTCAAAGATATCATTTATATAAATAATTAAATAGTAACGGCCCTAATTTACTCCCTTGTGGCACCCCTACTGATATATTTTGAACACTTGACATAATATTTCCAACTTCAGTTTTTTTACTCCTATTTACTAAATAATTTTGTAAAACGTGTAATACTTTAAAACCATAGTGACGCAATTTCATTAACAATTTTTCCCTATCTATAGTCTCAAATTCCCTTTTGAAGTCTAAAAATATTGTTACAATATATTCTTTTTCATCTATACTTCTTCTCCAGTCTTCCAACACCATTTGGATTGCCGTTTCTGTGGAATATTTTTTCTAAATCCAGCTTGATCAAAATTCTGGTTTCTTCAATGAACTCTATGATTTGTTCGTATATTATCCCTTCGAACAGCTTCTCGACATCGGGCAAGACATTAATTGGTCGCATATCTGTATACAGCTGAGAATTTTGAACTTTTGGCACAGGAGTAAAACACTTTAATTTTGATGGGAATTTACCATGTACTAAACAATGATTCTCCAATAATAATAATTTCTCTCCAATTATATTGAAACAATCATTTAGAATATTTTTTGAGAGATTCTCACTTGGATTTTTATTGGATTTCAATTTTGATATAGCTTTTCTTAGATTGTTTGATGTTAATTGACCTAAATTGCTTCATTGATGAATTCTGACATACTGAACTAGTATAACGTTTATATGCGAATACAACGAAGGTTGTTTGGGGTAGCATATTTTAAAATTATGTTTTATATTGTAGTATTTTATTTAAAAATTACTTTCACTATGACTTTCACAGAACTCTAGCGCAGTCTATAGTTAGAACAATTTATTGTGGTCTTCCCATAACATCAGTTTACGAACTGCTTTCTACTGAAATATTGTGTGTGTTTATTAATTTCAAGATCTTCTATGTTTCTGTGTAGGAATGCACCAACAACAGAGACCAACACCTCCAAGTGCTCATGATCTAACGTTCGCACCTGCGTTATCTCATAGACCGCCTGGATTTGACCAGCATCCTCCACCACATCATCCAGGGAGTCTCTTTACGTCTCCAGCAGCTAGTCATTTAGGTAATAACTGTTTTATATTTGCTTCTACTAAAAATCAGTGAAAACACTATTCGGCTGATCAATGTCTCACTTTCTACTATTAAACAAAAAAAAGCGTTTTTGGACGTCTAAGAATGAAAGTCAAGGAATATGTAATTTTGTAGTTTTGTCTTTCTATTAACGTTGGGAGTAGTAGATTGTTTTACGTAATTTATGACGAAATGAAAAAAAAAATTACCTTGTTTTTGAATGTTTTTAGACTTGTGGTTTTCTTTAACAGCTTTAAAACAGTTGTTTCATTAAACATTACTTATTAGTTCTAGCGCATAGTCTTAAAAAAATTAGATTAACAAAATTTCGTTGGGTTCCCTGGCATTTAGGCTTCTACCAGCGCGGCTAATCGGTGAAAAAAAATTGTTGTATTTTGTTTGCATCTTGCGAACGTTCTCCACGCATCGGGAAACATCGACGGGCATCTTCAGGCCTCGATGAAGACTCGATTTCTATCTAGAAAGCGAGGAAAGCCTTCCGGAATACGTCGATTCGAAGATAAATACTCGAAAGCTGGAGTTGAGCGATGAGTCAACAGCGCGGATCACCATAGTCCAGTTCACATGATCATAAATATATATAATAAATGTTGTTTTAATGCTATAATATCCATGTTACACAGTATATCGCGTCATATATTATGTCGTCAAGACGTATTTTTTACAAAATTTCACTACTATGAATTCTGGTTTTCCATGAAATATTTTTGTAATTTCCTTTAAACATTATCAAACTGGCACACATCTTGATTTCATTACTTAATTAATTAAATCCGTACAATCCCTTTTGAAATACTGCCTTGCTCGTTATATTATTACTACAATTTTGTAAATGAAAATCTATACTCCCTCTAGTAGAATAATTATGGTACTCTTTGTACAATTCAATTAAATTTCCTAAGTGATTTGGTAGATGATTTTTTAACTTGTATATGAAAATGAAAACCAAGTAGGTTATGAAATTTTTGATAATTAATCATTGTAGTTCTTTCAGCATAAAATTTATTCTAGAATATTAATGTTCATTTAAGATGATACCCACAGCTTTGTTTTGTAATATTTGCAATTTTGAAAATACAATTTCGTTTGCAGTGAACAAAAGTTCGAACAATATAATAAATAAGGAAGAATGATAGTGTTGTACACAATTTTTTTAGAATATCCGAAATTATCTTTTTGGATATTTTTGAAATAATATATTCCTAGTGTCCTTCAAATTTTAATTTACTATTTACGTATATGCCCAAATATTTAAATGATTCGCTTGACTCAATTGTTCATGGTTAAAGATTTATCGTATTTTCATCTAAAGATTTTCCTATAAGTATAAATTTTGTTTTCCCAACCAAATAATTATGTTTTTCATATGATTATTTAACAGGTTTATTTCAGTTTCAATGTCTTTATTTGACCTATATATTAATGTATTATCAGCAAGTATTTGAATTTTGCAGTGTTGTAAAACATCAGGAATATCGTTAATATATAAAATAAATAGTAATGGACCTAATTTGCTACCCTGTGGCACACCTACCATGCCGTGCCGTTCCTTGACTTTTATTGATTAAATAATTTTGTAATATGTTAAATACTCAACCTTTAAATAAGAAGCAAAAGATGCAGTAAATTAGTATGAGAGTAAGAAATTAGACTTAAAATAGTAAAGCGGTGTTTTCTTTACATGATAAATGATAAATGATAAATTTTAACGATTTTTTTTTAAATGATATCAATTTTCCGGTTATTGCATTGCAGGTAAATCTCCGTTCTCGGCAGGTTCAACGCTATCTCCGTTTACGAGGTACGGCGCCCCCGGTGCGGGGGCGCCACCTCCGTTGGGGGCTTCCAGTACGTCACCATTTTCGATGTCTCCGTTTGCCGCAGCGGCTGCTGCAGCCGCGGCCGCGGGTAGAGAAGCTCATTTAGGATCACTAGCGTCGCTACATCACGATCCGTGGCGGTAAGTATCTTCAGAAATGTATTTTCCAAAAGTGTTTGATTATCGAAGTATCCAACTTGGAGGTGCTATTTCCATGGAACGACTATGGTGCCATTTACACGTTAATTTGAGGTATTATTATCTACAACATCAAATTGTCAAATCAACAGTCCGTTATTCTCCAACTATAGGGTAACAGTCCGTCAAATACAGCGAATGAGCTTCAAGTTCCAATCAACAAATTTTAGCAATCAATAGCTATGAAATGTTGAAGACAAAATACTGTCAAAGTATGAGATGACAGCTTGTCGTTGAAACATCACCAGCTTATTGGATATTAAGAAATTACATACGAGTGTAATTTAGTCAAAATTTAAAAAAATGTTCGATGTTTGAATAAAATTCATGTTTTTTTTTTAATATTGTTTATTCATGTTTTACTGATTCCTGACTCCTATCGTGTGTTCTTTTCCTATAAACCTCTTGCAGATAGCCATTAAGCACCTACTTGATGACAGGCTCTACCAAAAATTTCATAGATATTGCTCGTTTCCAACCATTCATTCATTTACTTGCCCTTCATCAGTACCATTATAGCACCGTCGATTGATATTCCCACAAAACCATTCAGGATTTTTGATATCGATACATCCATAAAGTTGAATATTTTTCGTTGTTCATTAACTGAACAATCATCCACACTATATTCACAGCGATTAAAAAATTCCCAAATGTATGCCTTAAAGCTACCAGCAAATCTAAAACCTGCAAAAAACTACAAATTTGCCATATTTTTCTTTTTTCACGAGTACACATTCTAGGTTATATTTATATTAGACATTATTTGAATACAGCTGATTATTGTATTTCAAGGAGTGAGACATGTGTGGGATCTGTCAACTCTTGGTACCAGTCACAAAACATATACTCTAAACGTTTAATTCCATGCTATTCAATGACAACACGGTGACTTGTGTGGTTGTCAGCGGCCATTTTGTGAGGGTGCGACCGGGTTGCCAGATTGTGCATTAATATCCCGTTTCACCCTCCTGGTCCCAGTGGAATAAGTTCCGCCAACTGTTGAAATATACTCTACTATACTGCTTTATAAGACTATACGAGGAATTTTTCCCAAAATCGTTGCACAACACTTGAAAAAATACAAATGAAAATTTAAAATTATTTCCATGACTAAAAAGCAATTGATGTCCCAGACGTGTTATAATAATAGAAATAAGAAGAAAATATAACAATGTTTGGAGATATATTTTCATAAATAGGTATTTTTGATTCTAACTTATAATCTCTATTCGATGAATAATAGGTGGATACGGATACTGTTACAAATATGCATGTTTTAGGACCAAAAAATGCAGAATGTGCTGTTTGTATACATTTGGTGTGGATTTCTAGATCATGAATTACCAAAAATTGTTTTTGATGTAACAAAAACAGTTGGAATACGTTTTATATACTTTTTTTTGCAAAATAACGAAAATCGGTACATTTCTACAAGCACGTTTTATGTACAACACCCTGTACGTGATGTACAGACAAAACTAGATTGCCATGCATGAACAGTCGTCAAAAACAGTTAATACATCCTACCAAATATAATAGCTAGAAAATCGACCTGTTATTTGCCGCATTCCCATTGGTCTGACCGTCTTTTTGAAATGATAAACATTTGAAATTCTATGAAAGTTATCCTAATTGTAAAGCCCAAAGACAATATTACATTTATAATGTACCCTTATTTATAAGGTTATAAGGTTTTTTCACGACTTAATTCAACATTTCAATAGAAATCACTGATATTCAGAGAGCTTGGAAAGCTTCCGTCAAATTGCATTTCAATAAGGTCTTTTCCTGTTGGTCCAACTGACCGTCAAGTATTGATCTAGGTGAAATTGGCCCTTAAGAAACTATATGAAGATAATGTATTGTGGTATTCGACAATTCAAAGCTATTATCAAATGTCAAACAAGAATCATGGGAACAATTATACTCTATCGATAATGTAGACAAAGCGACGGAACTATTCATAGAGAAAATAAATAAATTGATGGATATTGGTAATAACAAAAATACCCTAGTCTAGATTATTCGTAACACTGAAATTCTATCTAAAGATAATATACAACACGTTTATCCGATTGCCTTCTGACTTATCTTCATTTCTGTCTTCAGATCATTACAACGTGCCATCCCCACCTTCCCGCCAGCAGTCAATCCTCTACCTCCAACGTTGCCGGGATTAACACCTCCAGCGCCTTGGACCATCAAACCTGATCCTGTTCTGGAGCAACGAGAGCGCGAAGCTAGAGAACGGGAAGAGCGAGAGAGAGAAAGATTGAGGAGAGAACGGGAGGAACGGGAAAGGAGAGAGAGGGAAGAAAAACAAAGGAGGTTAGAACAGCAGGTGAGTGTTTGAGGCTTCTACTGCGAGTTGTTATACTAAATGACATATAAAATGCTACACCGACTAGGAGTGCTGTAATTTTGAGCATACTTTTACAAGTTTAGGTCTACCGATAAATGGAAAGTGATTAAAATTTTAACTCGAAATAATTGAGATATCCCACCTTAATGTTAATAATATCTTGAAGCTCCTCTGTTCGCTACATATTCGTTGAGTCGGCGCGGCAATGATTGGATTAGGTGATTGATGCCTTCTTGGTGTATTGTATCCCAAGGTCATCTGAATTTAGTTTCGTAGAGACTCCAATGTTTGTGGACTGTGCGGTGATTTTTGCAACTTCTGTATCCGATTTCAATATGTATTCTCTTTTTTTTACAGCAACAAGAACAGAGGGAACGTGAACGTAGAGAAAGAGAGAAACGCGAAATGGAACGCAGGGAGATGGAGCGGCAGCGTGAAAGGGAGCGAGAGAGAATGATACAGGAGCAAAGAATGGCGGAGTCTGCTAAGCAGATGCAGCAACCCTTGATAAGAGACAGATCACCGATGCGAAACGGTGATTTGTCCGACATTAGGGTCAAAGAGGAGCCTAGGATAAAAGAAGAGGACATGCTGGCTAGGACGGATCCAAGGTACTTTTTCGTGTATAGTACGCGACAGCGATATTGGATTCGTTTACATTTTTTGCCGATAGTCATAAAACAGCTGTAAAACCGAGAACCGGCAGCATTTTCTCTTGCAAGTCTGGATGACATGAAGTAACGTTGATTGTTATTGTAATTTATTATCCTGACATTAGTTGAAAATTCATACTATTAACCAAAATATACATATGTTTACCTGATGGCAGCGATGTCAAAGATATAAAGCTACTTACCTAATTTGCTAGGTTGAGGAGCCTTCTTCCAGAAACACGCACATCAAGATCATTCACCTAAATACATATTTCATTTCACTTTCACACGTTACTTCTTTATTTAAAACACGCCTACAACTTAATCCTCTTCTTCCGAAGACTCATCATTGGCGTCAATAATGAACTTCACGTTGCCCATTTAGAGAATTTTATGTATTCATTTTCAACTTGTAGGACTCTGTAGATGGTTTTCTTCAAATTTATCCTGCCTCTGATCTGATACAAAATAAGGTGACAGTCCTAGGATCACATGCCCGCAAGAAGCTGCCATTTCCTCAACCGCATACTTTTTCTCAAACCATTCTTTTTTGTATAAGAATCCTCACAATAGTGATCGTGCTCCACAAGAAATTCTTGACGAAGAATTAGGGATTTTTTCATTATTCAATTTATGAGATACTCCCTTTTGAAATATAGATTTACTAGTTATGCTGCTATCACAATTTTGCAGATGAAAATCTATACTGCCTCTAGTTTCGTAGTTATGATAATGACTATTTAATTTTGTGAAGTTCTCTAAATGTGGTGGTAATAAATGATTTTTTAATTTGAATATGAAAACGAGAACTAAATAATATATGAAATTTTTCACATCCAACCACTGCAGTTCTTCTAACATAGACATTCCTAGTATATTTGTTTTTATTTAAAATGATTCTCATAGCTTTATTTTGTAGAATTTGTAATTTTGAAAATATGTTTTCATTTGCTGTAAACAAGATGGTTGAACAGTATAAAAAGTGGGAAAGAATTATAGTGTACACAATTGTTTTTGAATACATACTAAGATTATTTATGGGAAACTTTATAGAAGCAATTTATCTTTTTCGTGTTTTTCTTTGGTCCTTTATGTTTGACGTTGACAGATGAACCTGTTTGTTCAAATTTACGAACCCATTCCTTTATAGCATGAGCCGAAGGAACTGTGCCATGCCGACCAATTTGGAAATAAAGTCGGAAATGTCGCTAAGCGGCAACCACACAAATGCACGTTGCTCACCAGACCACTGCTCCATGATTACTAAATGTCATACATTAACAGATAATTTCAAAAAATGATCATAACATCGTTACATCATTTTCTTTTGTTGCAGGTATAATCCATTCCTGCGCCACCCTGGCTCGCTACCGCCTCCGCCGCCGAATCCCGCCTCCATGCTGGACCGGACGCGGATGCTTTCCCACCCCTTACCGCCGCCTCCCCACCCTTACCATCACGCAGCTCCCGCGGCACATTGGGGAGCCCCTCCTCCTCCGCCCACAGACCCTTATTACCATCGGTACGGCTACTCGCTAATGGACGCGATGCGAGCGCAAGAGGAAAGGGCGTGGGCCTACAACGCTGCCGCGACCGCCCATCTCAGGCCGAAGGATCCCGGATTGATGCACCTGAGGCCGCAAGCGCCACCTCCCTCGACGGTGGGCGGTCCACCGCAGCATAAGCTCGGCATGACTCCGCCCACGTCAGGCGTGATCGAACACAAGAAGGAGGAGCCTCGATAGCATACATCCACGGAGAACGGAGATAAAAAGAAATGAAGATAGTGAGATGATGACGATGTGCATTGTACAGGTCTAGAAGAGATTGTGATGGTGATTGGTAGCTGGTTATTTAGTCAAGTCAATTTTAGATCAGGTGAAATCATTAGCAAGGAAGAAACAGTTTGATGTGAGACCACTGATTTTACAAAATTGAGGAAAAAATAAATCTTGCATAGGCAACTGCTTCACTCTCCCTAGTTTATGGAATTATTAAACTTAAAAATGTATGTGATATTCAGATATAGTGATAATCCAAGCAGATTTTTGAAATTCTGAGATTTGTTTCAAAACATATGGAAAAACTTGAGGAATAATTATTTGAATTGTTTTAAGACATTTGACGACTTTCAAAGTACTGCGTCTTTACGCATACCCATCCGTAACGCACGTAACTCGAAATGAACAACTTTTGAATAGCATTGTACAATCCAAAATTTTACAATATAGTAACTAGTTGAGGTCCTGCACGGTGGTGCTAATTTTTTACCCTTGAAATAATAACTCGAATAACTTTTTAGAAAAACATCCTTTCTATTTATCACCACTGCAGCCGATCCCAGATGGTTCTTAAGAACGAAAACTTTGTTATCTGGCCTAAAAATTCATATCCAGAGGTTTTTCTGGTAGCTGATAAGTTGCAAGTTCCATCTGGTTATATAGCAGAACATCTACTTCAAGTAAAATACATGAGTATTCACAAAGTGTACAGACAAAAGTACTTGAATGAATTTAGATAGTCGTGAGATCATATTATTAAAGTCTGGTTTTATTGCTGCAAGTTCAAAGGGGTATTCAAAACATGGACGCATAAAATGGGTACACCAATTTTTGTGGGAAAGCTTTGTATTCGACAACATAGAATGAGAAACCGTGTTTTTGGGATTTAATCGAAAGTGTTCGCAAGAACGAAAAATCTCTTCAGATAAGAATTTTAGATATTTATGAGACCACACGTAAAAAAATGTTTATATTTAAACAATCAAGCTTTCCAAAAAAATCTTTTTGGAGTCATTGTTATGCAGTGTTAAAAAAGATTGGCAACACTGACTTGAGACTAATCCAACCATGGACACAGCTAGTGTTATTCAAAGATTATTTAAGGCCGGCTTTCAGTGGTCATTCAGGGATATATCGAGAATCTTCAAAGGACAAAATAGCCCTAAAATAGTCGGAAGCATCGTCCCTCGAATTTTTGTCTTATGCTCTAGAAGCACCTTGTACAGCTATAATTAATAACATTCTGGCACGCGTTAACATTAACCTCATCTTGCTATTTTCATATTTAAATCACCTACATATTTGAAAATAGTGAGTTAAAATTAAGGTTAACGCCTATGTCCGGGCATTCATAACTAGCTACCAAGTTACCATTATCATGAATTTCAGACTTGCGTGCTTAGATCATATAAATTCAGCAGAATATCTTTAGACATTTGTAAAAAATTCATTTTGTATCGGTGACCATATATTGTAATGAAAGTTTAATTTTTGATCTCATATGTAGCATAATCAAAAAAGGGGAAATTCGAGTATGTGTGAGTGAAATGGAGAGATATGAAGAAAGTAAATTCACCCCTAGAAAAAGATATTTTTGCAATCGATATGTGTGAAAAAGTAAATATATATGTCATATATATTACAAGCCGTCACTATCCCTTTGAATTAGAATATATGTTTATTCAAATTCAAGCTGCATGTCACACAGGAAGGAGAGCATATGTGATACTCGACCATGTCAAAGTTTGCTTGAATGAGATGTGGTATAAAAAATCACTTTCCTTCCTTCAGTTCAGTGATGGACAAATTCCGAATATTACCCGTGCTTTGCCTAATCATATTAGACGAAAATAATAATTGTGAAGTCTGATTTAATTGCTGCAAGTTATTCAAGGGGGTATTTTAAACATGGACGCATAAAATGAGTTCATCAATTTTTGCGGTAAAACGTTTTATTCACCAAAAAAGAATGAGAAAACGTGTTTTTTGGGATTCAATCGAAAGTGTTGGCAGAAACTAAAAAACTCTTCATATAAGATTTTTAGGTGTTTATGAGACGTCCAAAATGAGACCACACGTAAAAGATCCGACTAATAATAGCACAAATGTTATGGCCGAAAAACGAGGCAAAATGCAGGTTTTGGCACTTATTGGTGATGCTTGAAATTCTTCATATTCGCACTATTCATACTTCTAAATAACCACAAAAAATTAGAGTAGATTGGTCAAGTAGCTTTTGAGAATCCCTAATTGTTTATCCCAAAACACCTGTTTTCCTGCCATCACTACTAGTTTATTGAGCAATATACAGGGTTAGTTCAAGGGGCAAACATTTATCATATCGGCAAGGTAAACACGTGTATTTTGCTATTAAATGTTCTTTGAAAGAACCCTGTATATTGCTCAATAAACTAGTAGTGATGACCGGAAAACGGGTGTTTAGGGATAAACAGTTAGCAATTCTCAAAAAATTACTTGACCAATATACTCCAATTTTGTTGGGGTTATTTAGTAGTATCAGTCCTACGAATTTGAAGAATTTCAAGTAGTTGCGTAAAATTATCGTCGCATTACCAGCAAGTGCCAAAACCTGCCTTTTGCCTCGTTTTTCGGCCATAACATGTTTGCTATCAGTCGGATCTTTTTACGTGTGGTCTTATTAAATACCTAAAAATCTTATATGAAAAGTTTTTGCGTACCTGTCAACACTTTCGATTGAGTCCCCGAAAACACGTTGTCTCATTCTTTGTTGTCGCATAAAAAGTTTTCCCACAAAAATTGGTCTACCCATTTTATGCGTCCATGTTTTAAATACCGCCTTGAACAACTTGCACCAGACTTTGGCAATGATTTCGGGGAAATTTGCTAATATGATTAGACTGTTTCCTAATCCGAATGTTGTATCTTGAATATGAATGTAGCTTAAGTGACGTTCGAGAAAATGCTGTCATACTACTTGAACAATATGATTCATCAAGTAAAACGCAAGGCTGTCTTCAAAATACATTTAACGGCAAGAAATTTGCCTGATTCAAGTTTGGAAATGCGAAAAATTAATGACTTTCTTTAGACATTTCTGGGTAGCAATTTTGATAGATACTCGATATTTTTTACATAGTGATTTATTAAGAAGTTTCTTATTGTCAAAATCAATACAAATCTGTCTATTATCAGATGTTACAGGAAAATGTAATGTATTGAAGACACAAGTGGATAAAGGTGTCATTTAACGTTTTTTTCAAAATTGCTTTTTTTGCATTTCATTCTGAGATTTCTAAACTAAATATTTAAAATGTCACTAAAGTAGCCCCAAAAAATATTCATTTACATAACAAGTGCGGTAAGTGATACTTTTCCGCAAGTGTTAGGTATAGGATTTTTTTCTAATAGTGCAGCGCTAGAGAATAATTAACACAGAATTTTAAATACGCAGTGTTTTATTGTAAATTTAATAATTTTAAAATCGACAACATCAATAATTCATTTATGATAATTATTAACAATATTAAAAGTACTATAAAAGTTTTGCAATACAGTCTTAGGTGCTGCAGGCGGCTACTATGCACTCATGGACATGTTTCAACAAGTTACATTGCAAAACTTTTATATAGGGTATTTTTTTAGAGGTATAGAACTTTAAATTGCAATAAAACAACTATGGATTATTCAATTCACTTGAATTTTTTTACTCGAAAGATAATCTCGTGGCATTACATTTTAAATATGATTTCTGGCATACGACTGCCACGGCTGGCTCGGATGTAGTCCAATTTTCGATGACTTTTCCCAACATTTCTGACCGTATATCGGCAATAACATTTCGAATGTTGTCTTCCAATTGGTCAAGCGTTTGTGGCTTATCCGCATAGACCAATGACTTCACATAGCCCACAAAGAATAGTCTAGCGGTGTTAAATCATAAGATCTTGGAGGCCAATTCACAGGTCCAAAACATGAAATTAGGCGGTCACCAAACGTGACTTTCAATAAATCGATTGTAGCACGAGCTGTGTGACGTGTTGCGCCGTCTTGTTGGAAGCACAGCTCATGGACATCATGATTGTTCAATTCAGGAATAAAAAAGTTAGTAATCATTGCTCTATACCGATCACGTTCTGGCCATCATCGTTTATGAAGAAGTACTGACCAGTGATTCCACCAGCCCATAAAGCTCACCAAACAGTCAGTTTTTTTGGATGTAACGGTGTTTCGACATAGACTTGAGGATTAGCTTCACACAAAATGCGGCAGTTTTGTTTGTTGGCGTAGCCATTCAACCAGAAGTGCGCTTCATCGCTAAAGAAAATTCGCTTATGAAAATCGGGAACAACGGCAGTCTCGTTTTGGGCCCATTCAACGAATCTACGCCTTGCTTGATGATCGTTTGGATTTTGTAAGCACGCAAACCAAGATCCTTCTGCAAAATCTTCCATAAAGTAGATGGACACAGATCCAATTCGTGTGTTCGATGGCGGATGGACTCATTCGGGTCTTCCTCAATACTACGCTCTACAGTAGCAATAGCTTCTTCTGTACGCACCGTACGGCGTCTCTGGGGATGCGAGTTATTAATTAGAATAAACGTGGTGCGAAAACGTTCCATGATTAATCGAATTAACTGCTCTGATGGACGATTTTGTCGACGATAAAATGTTCGTAGTGCGCGATACATATTCCGCACACTTTCGAAATAAAACTGCACGATTTGCAAGCGTTGTTCAGACGTGAGTCTATTCATGATGAATTGCCAAACCAAACTGAGAATAAATCACTTGACAGCTGTCAAATCGGTCGCCATCTTCAAAAGTAATGCCAACTTAAAGTTCTATACCTCGAAAAAAAACACCAGTTAGTACCTTTTGTAAAAGAACAGTTATTTGTATTATGAAAAATTGTAGCCGTTCTCGAATCAAACCTAGTGCCGCCGGCCTCGCTTTCTTCTAAAGTTTCATGTTCTCTAGAACGTCCTGTATATAAGTATCCATTTTATCTTCTAACGATTCGGCTATATACCCTTAAGCCAGAGATGTGGGCTTCCAGTCGCCGTGGATGCGTGCGGAAAAGTGCTACTTTCCGCAGGCAGATGCGTGTTGAAAGTACTTTTCCCACGCTGGTAGAAAAACAAGTTTTCTCCGTACAATGATTTTGTTACACGACACCTTTATCCACTTGTGTGTTCGTATAAAGATGATCAAAAAAGCTGAATGCGATACCTGAAAGCAGGTATTTCCCCAAAGTAACCTGTCATATCCAAACTATTATGAATTTAGCCTGGTGATTGATACCGTATTTTTGCAGAATGTATAGGATAAAATGTGATTGTGGATAGAAAATAATTCGCCTTTTTAGATAGTATTCGTCATGTTGTTCATGTAGGCATTGCACATAAACGCTCGGATATTCTTACGTATGAACTGCCTAAAACGATAATGTACATAGTGTACCGCTTGACGTGAATATTGTATAAAAGTATCAACATTTTTAACGATGTATTATTTTTTGTATCTTGTTTTTATTTTGTCTTAGATCTGTTTTATTTATTCTCTTTTTAACTAATTTGTACATATACAATTATTAGGTAATTTATTTAAGACTGATGAATTATCATCTTTTTTATACATGATCCGGTTTTATTTATGTACGACTTTGTAACACTTTTTTAGAGTTGGCAGGATAATCTCACTCCTGGCTTTGGTATCAAGAAGTAAATGATATTCTGATTAGAAATACTCAAAATATCATTAACCCTTTCGGAAGCCATCCGATAAACATTGCGTTTCACTTCAGATTTCGAAAATATAAATTATACTAGTGAGGAAAATTCAATAGGGAATATGCATATCATTCGAATATCGCTCAAATATTTTTATTCTCAGTCTATATTGCTATAAATAAAAAAATGGAAAAAACAGCGGAAAATATAAAATATCGAAACGCATCGCTATTGGCGTTATTTTCGACCTGTGACTTTTATTGATCAGATTTAAAATTGTAGCTTTTCTTCTCACTCTCACTGATTGTCAACCTGTCATTTTGATGTTCCAGCTTTTCAATGTAATTCATAGTAATAAATATAAGCTATAAACACCTTGTCAAAAACTCGACGGTAACCTAACAATGCAATTGAATGATATATATATATATATTTATATATATATATATATATATATATATATAAGGTAAATGAATTACATAAAAAAATCATGTATATTCCCTATTGGAACATTTTTCGTGTGAGGAACACTCTTTACACATCTTTTGCTGACTCTGTCTTTTTTAATAACGTCTTTTTAAGTAACTTCCATATTTTTACAAATGTGAATGTACCACAGTACTCGAGATGTTTTATTATTTGAACCTTGAGCTTTAAGAGACATTTAACACTTTATATACGCCGCTGAGGTAAAATATCAAGTGTCAGGGGTGTCAAAAAATGGTGTGTTATGCCTCTATATACAGGGTGTCAAATTAAGTGCCGTAAATTTAACAGACGATCCTTTGAGTAATTTTAAGACAAAAAGTTCATATAAACATATTCTCAAGATACATCGTGTTAAAATGTAAAAAAACATTTTTTGTGAATATCTTAAATATAATTTACCTAATTTTGTTGAAATTTGGTGGTGATATTTATAAAATTAAGGAGCTAATTTAGCCCTAACTTGAATCCAGTGGCGTCTCGAGCGGGATCTGAACGAATACAAACACAACAAAAAAAAATGTACGCCACTTTTGTGCAATTTTTGTTATGTTCTTTGGATTCAGCAAATATAAATACAACTTTTTTGTCTCTTGAATTACTAGATAAAATTAACATAATTAGTAATATGAATTATAAAAAATCAATTTCCAAAAGATACTTTAACCCATATATTTCTTGTGTGGTCCAGGGATATGCAAAATTAAGTGCACTTTTTTCGAAAACTAAGAAAGATACGAAAAAAACAAGTGACAAAAAAGTTGTATTTCTATTTCCTTAACTCAAAGAACATGATAAAACTTGCACAAAAGTCGGTGACATACATTTATTTTGTCACAAATATTCTCTCAGGTCCCGCTCGAGATGCCACTGGACTTAATAAATTTAATATTAGCTCCTTAATGTTATAAATACCTCCGCCAAATTGTAACAAAACAGATATTTAAGATATCTACCAACACCCTGTATCTTTACGTCGAGTGTTGTCAACTACGTTTGGCTGATTATTTTACTTTTCGATAGCAAATGGCTAACAAAGACTCAATTTGGTCACATTTTTTATTTAACTATGTTAGAAATTAAAACATACTTCAAAACATGATTTTTTACAAATGTTAATACTTTTATACACTGTCAAAAAATAGAAATTCAGGCATCCCTTAAAATCCCAGCCTAGCATTATTTGATGTACTGTGGTGCATGCAGAGTATTTTTGAGGAGACTCCTCAGAAGGATTCACCGAATTAAAATAGTCGATATTGGAAATTACAGTCATTTGCGTAATGCAGTAAATAATTGCATATGTAGATACCCCCTCCCATCTCAAGCCTTTTCAATTAAACATTTCAGATATGTAGATAAATCACTGTGCTCTATTTAATGTTTGTTAGGAGAACAATTTTTTATGTGTACGATTCTAAAAGAATCAAGTGATGTAATATAAATAAATAATATTGTTTCTATAATATTAGAAACATTAGCCATATTTTTCGATATTTATTTAAACTTCCTCATCCACATCCCCAAGCATATCCCTCTTATGCTGTGATTTTCAGAACGGTCGCGTTAGTGAACGCCTGTAGTTAGCAAGCTGGAATAAGCGCCATAAAATTGATATTTATGCAAAAAATCGCATCAAGAAGGTTGACTACACAATCCGCGTAAGGCTGTCTTCTGTTCATGAAAGATTATGTTCAGCACAAGTTAGACACTATCGAACTATAGACCTTATATCCTGGATAAAGTAAAGTAAAGCGCCATCTATGGGATGGTAGCCCAACTAAACGAATTTTTTTGGTGGCGGCTACTCTCCAATAGATGGCGCTGCATATCGGTAGCTACCACAAGGTCCACCGTTTTGAATGACTACCTTGGGCTGCTGAAATCCGTTCAGTAATCCCCAATGCAAACAAGGAGGAGGACGCTTTGTTTTTCAACAAAGCCAAATCTAATACGTAATATTAGAATATAATAAACAAATCTTAAACATAGTTTCATCAAAAAATGGGGGGATTTTAACCCCCCTCACGGAAATTTAAGATCCTTGATCATTGAAGATGCGTTGCCATAGACCCATCCCGAACCCCGACCAACCGCCCCTAAAGGTTCTTTTTGACTAGTTAAATTTTGTGAGGTCTGTGATAGCACTTTACATAGAAGCGCCATCTATGGGATGGTAGCCCAACTGAACGAATTTTTTTTGGTGGCGGCTACTCTCCAATAGATGGCGCTGCATATCGGTAGCTACCACAAGGTCCACCGTTTTGAATGACTACCTTGAGCTGTTGAAATCCGTTCAGTAATCCCCAATGCAAGCAAGGAGGAGGACGCTTTGTTTTTCAACAAAGCCAAATCTAATACGTAATATTAGAATATAATAAACAAATCTTAAACATAGTTTCATCAAAAAATGGGGGGATTTTAACCCCCCTCACGGAAATTTAAGATCCTTGATCATTGAAGATTCGTTGCCATAAACCCATCCCGAACCCCGACCAACCGCCCCTAAAGGTTCTTTTTGACTAGTTAAATTTTGTGAGGTCTGTGATAGCACTTTACAAAGAAGCGCCATCTATCGGATGGTAGCCCAACTGAAAGAATTTTTTTGGTGGCGGCTACTCTCCAATAGATGGCGCTGCATATCGGTAGCTACCACAAGGTCCACCATTTTGAATGACTACCTTGAGCTGTTAAAATCCGTTCAGTGAACCCCAATGCAAGCAAGGAGGAGGACGCTTTGCTTTTCAACAAAGCCAAATCCAATACGTAATATTAGAATATAATAAACTAATCTAATCAAAAAATGGGGGGATTTTAACCCCCCTCACGGAAATTTAAGATCCTTGATCATTGAAGATTCGTTGCCATAAACCCATCCCGAACCCCGACCAACCGCCCCTAAAGGTTCTTTTTGACTAGTTAAATTTTGTGAGGTCTGTGATAGCACTTTACAAAGAAGCGCCATCTATCGGATGGTAGCCCAACTGAAAGAATTTTTTTGGTGGCGGCTACTCTCCAATAGATGGCGCTGCATATCGGTAGCTACCACAAGGTCCACCATTTTGAATGACTACCTTGAGCTGTTAAAATCCGTTCAGTGAACCCCAATGCAAGCAAGGAGGAGGACGCTTTGCTTTTCAACAAAGCCAAATCCAATACGTAATATTAGAATATAATAAACTAATCTAATCAAAAAATGGGGGGATTTTAACCCCCCTCACGGAAATTTAAGATCCTTGATCATTGAAGATGCGTTGCCATAGACCCATCCCGAACCCCGACCAACCGCCCCTAAAGGTTCTTTTTGACTAGTTAAATTTTGTGAGGTCTGTGATAGCACTTTACATAGAAGCGCCATCTATCGGATGGTAGCCCAACTGACCGAATTTTTTGGTGGCGGCTACTCTCCAATAGATGGCGCTGCATATCGGTAGCTACCACAAGGTCCACCGTTTTGAATGACTACCTTGGGCTGCTGAAATCCGTTCAGTAATCAACAATGCAAGCAATGAGGAGGACGCTTTGTTTTTCAACAAAGCCAAATCCAATACGTAATATTAGAATATAATAAACTAATCCAATAAAAATAATCTTTCCATCTAAAACTGGGGAGTATTCAAACGTCAAGGTTATACAATAAATAGAGTCAACACATCAAATTGTTTATACTTCGATTCTATTACATAGTATATCAATAAAAATGTACCTAGCAATATAGACTTATAATTAGGCAACTGTTAAGATATTTACATGGTACATTTCCTTTACTTTCTATACCACATTTGCAAAGTGTTAATCCTTTTGACCTTTTTCTGCAATTGTAAAATGCCATACATCAACGCTTCAGCTGTTGGTGGGCATCCTGGCACATAGATGTCTACAGGAACTATCCTATCACAACCCCTGTAAACAGCAATTATCATTAATCAAATTGCCGCCTATTCAAAAAAATCATCAAATCAGCTGGATCGCAAAAGGTAGGCCAAACCTCCCAGGCCCAAACTTTGTTAAAGAGACCTGAGATTCTTTCAAAATGGTTCTGGAGTTGGAAATAATAATGTCTTGTTACAATATGTAAGCACATCATAGGCTACTCGATCCGCCAGCCAAGATTTTTTAATCAAGTCATTAGGAATACGTTATGGTAGTCATTATTAAAATGGGTAATAGGGGCGGTCAAAACAAGTCAAAAAGTTCATATGACCCATGGTCCAAAAGTCAATAGATTTTTGTCTAAATGGTTTTATAGTTTACAACTTTAAGTGCTTTATATCGGCCACAATGTCACTAATTTTTATAATCTAATCTAAAACGTTTTTAACTTGGGTAAGTAAGTTTCATTAAATTAAATATTTAAAACACACATGACAACAGCGCGTCGGCCTTTCATCACTCTTATCGAACCGGCAATCGATCGCAAACGGTAACAGTGATTAGTTATCGGGCGATTTGTTTTGTTTTTGTTCGCGTACGTCGTCGTGTTTATTTACAATGTTCTCGAATCAAGAGTTCGCCGACATGTTGTTAGTTTACGGTGAAGCTCGTCAGAATTCAAATCTTGCAGCTCAAATGTATCATACAGATTTTGCCAACGGGTACACCCAGACAGAAGGACATTTGTGCAAGTGTACCAAAGACTTCGAAATACAGGAAGTGTTCAGCCCACTAATATTCGCACTAGTGAAAGACAGGTTACTGTATAGCATGAGGAACGAATTTTAAATATCGTGAAAATCAATACAGATATCAGCACTCGGGAATTAGGCCGCCGCGAAGGACTATCGCATACCATAGTCCATAGAATCCTACGGGAAAATTTGCTTTATCCCTACCATGTACAACGAGTGCAGGCCTTGTTACCAGAAGACTATCCTCGCAGATTAAGATTCTGTCAGTGGTTTTTGCACAAAAACATTGAAAATCCGGATTTTTTTAAAAACAGTCTAGCGACGGACGAATGTACTTTACGCGAGACGGGATATTAAATTTCCATAATACTCACACGTGGGCCCAAGAAAATCCTCATGCCATTCGTGAAGGTCATTTCCAACAAAGTTTTAAAATAAATATTTGGGCGGGTATTCTTGACGATCAGGCAATTGGCACTTTCGAGTTACCCCCAAAGTTGTCAGAAGAAGGATACCTTAGCTTTCTAGCCAATAACCTACCAGAACTTTTGGAACAGACCTTAGACAACATGCCATTACAACAGAGACAGAATTTGTGGTTTCTTCATCACGGGGCACCACCACACATTTTAGAGGCGTCATTCAGTATTTGAATGAACATTATCCAAATCGCTGGATCGGTCGAAATGCTCCTAATCCTCGAAAATGGCCATCAAGATCTCCTGACCTCAATCCGATGGATTTCTGGTATTGGGGAGAACTTAAAGGGATGGTTTATGGAGCTGATCCAATAACAACTGAAGCACAACTTCGCGAAAAAAATGTTAATGCGGCTGAAATAATAAATGGACAACTTCGAGGACCTAGAGTAAGAAGAAACTGGGTTCGTCGTAATGAAGCTTGTGTGAAAAGTGGAGGACGACATTTTGAACACCTTTAAAAACAAAAAAAGTGCAGTGTGGGTTTTAAAAAGAAAAACAATGTATGTATCAAAATTGTGTTCCCTATTTATAGATGGATTTTTTTAATACGTTCAATAAAGTTTCACACACCAGGTGAAGCGCTGAGACAGTTAGTGGTAAGTCCGTTTTTTTTAATTGTTTGCATTTTACGAGTACATTATCAAATAATGAAATAACACCTGAGAGCCAAAAATAACAAACTCCATCTTTATTTACACTGCGTTCCGTCGTAATTTGCGTCTAGCATTGCGGCGTTGTCAGATTTCATTTTAGTTTAAAGTCGCTTTTCTCTAAAAAAAATGCCGTTTTGACCCCCATGTTATATGAAGCTTTTTGCATCTTTTAACACCATCTACCACCCATTTAAATGATGACTATCATAACATTTACACCCTGTATTATTGCACCAATGAAGAGAAACAATAATGAAAAGCATACCTAACAACTGAGTAGGAATAATGGTAATAACCACCTCCATTAGCACAACTTCCCATGGAGATAACCCATCTGGGCTCTGGCATCTGATCGTAAACTTTCCGGAACGCGGGCGCCATTTTGTTCGTTAGGGTTCCAGCCACTATTATCACGTCTGCCTGTCGGGGCGAGGCTCGAAATACTACACCATATCTAAAAACAAATGGGTGTTCAATAAGGTAACATTCACTTGCACAAGACAAACGATTTAATGTTTACGATTCACAAAAAAGGAAGAAAAAGTGGCGCTGGAGGATTTCAATCCATAAACTCTTGAATCTATACTGATGCCATCAAGGAATCAATTTAGAGCAATAAACATTAACCATTTAAGAAAAGCTGTCTCAGAATTGTAATCTAATAAAAACTCAAAAGTGAGAATCTCTCAAAAAAGATTCTAAATCATTGTTTGAATATAACTGGAGAGAAATTATTATTATTTGTGAATTACCATCAAAATTAAAGTGTTCCACTATATGCCAAAAACATTCTGAGCTATACAAATATGCGGGCAATTAACGTCTTGCCAGATGTTTGAAGGCATAATATATACTAAGTGACATATAAATCCGAACACCCAGTTTAAATGGTTTTATTTTAATAAAAGTTGGTAAATTTATTTATCTTTCTGTAAATAACAAGTGAAAAAATTTTCAGCGTTATCAGTTGGACATTCCGGTTTTTAAACTGTTTTTTTTTTAATTCACTAACGCTCTAAAAATGAATATTTCAGCCGCAGTAAAGAATCAACGTTGGCGGATTTTGGTTTTTGACATCCTTTACGATCGGTTACGATACCTAGAGTACGGAGACCTGTACGATTTCGTCAACTTAGTGAGTTTGATAGGGGCCGTATAGTGGGACTTCGGGAAGCTGGACTTTCTTTTCAGGCAATTGCAGTTAGAGTGCAAAGAAGTGTAGACACTGTGGTTAGGTGTTGTCAGGCATGGCTTCGAGAAGGCCGTACGCAAAGAGCAAGGGGCACTGAACGCCGCCGTAGAACAACAGACCGTGAAGACCGCCGCCTAAGATTATTGACCTTAAGGGACCGTTTCTCCACTACCAGGTCCATTGCAAGTGAATGGTTTGCAGAACACGGAAGATCTATTGGCATGCGAAGTGTTTACCGACGAATGAGAAGTTTTGGCTTGTTTTCATACCGGCCACACTGGGTCCTCCCTTTAAGTCGAGAACACCGACGTAATCGCCTTGGGTGGTGCAGACAACGGTCACTCTGGGATCAGGAATGGAACAGTATTGTCTTTAGTGACGAGTCTCGATTTTGTTTAGGCATGCACGATGGTCATGCCAGGGTTAGAAGGCGACGTGGTGACAGGAGGAATCCATAGTTTTTTGTTGAAAGACATGTTCATCACACTATTGGAGTTATGGTTTGGGGTGCTATAGCTTATGGTTCCAGGTCACCTTTAATCTTCATCAGAGGTAACATGAACGCGCAGCGTTATATCCACGAAGTTCTAGAATTCCATCTTTTACGCTATCTTGACAACTTTCCAACAAGATAATGCCCGACCACATGTTGCAAGATTTTTTTTTTTTTATACTCCAACTACCACGAAGGCCTAAGGCCTAAGCACCCATTGGGTACCGTGGGGCTATGGGGGATACATGGGAAAGGGGGGGACGCCACACGGACTCTGGCGAGGGAACACGTGTGCATGCAACATGCACACATTCTGGCTCCGCCTACGAGAACCGCCGGGTGGTACCTCCGCGTTCGACAGTCAGAGACCATCTACCACCTACGGACAATCACAACATCCATGGCCAAGAGAAACATTTCTCATGGGACGGGACTCGAACCCGCACAGCGCACGGCGGCTGATCAGGAGACCGAAGAGTCTAATACTGCGGCCACCGCTGCTGCCTAAAACAAACACACAACATCCATGGCGAAGGCGAGATTCGAACTCGCGGCCCGGTCGGCCGGCTGATCAGTAGCACGACACTCTGACCCACGCGGCCAACCGAGGTCCCGAGGACTTATTTCAACATAATGATGTCACATTGTTACCATGGCCACCAAGATCTCCCGACTTATCCCCAATTGAGCACGTGTGGGATATGATGGGTAGGAGATTGCTCAATTGGCAACGTCCTCCTCAGACTCTAGAAGCACTTCGAGAGGAGTTGGTGGTTGCCTGGAATGAGATAGCACAAGAGGACATTGACCACCTGTTCAGAAGCATGCCTAGGCGCGTTGGAGAATGCGTAGCACATCAGGGTGCATCCACACATTATTAAAGGTCAAAGGGCTTTAAAGCAGTGCAATCATTTTGAAATTTTTATCATTTACTTATTATGCTTCATTAAGTAATTATACAAAAATTTATTAAAATAAAACCATTTAAACTGAGTGTTCGGATTTATATGTCACTTAGTATGAACAAATCATTGAAGAAAACGCAATTTTGACAAAAAATCAAGCTGAAAAATATTCTACAGAAGCAGCAATCCATATGGTGCTGGAAGACTGGAGAAGAAGAATAGATGAGAAAGAATGTATCATAACAGTATTTTTAGACTTCAAAAGGGCATTTGAGAGTACAGACAGGGTAACAATTGTTAGTAAAATTCCATCACTATGGTTTTAAAGGATCATTTTCCCAAATTATTCAGTAAATAGAAGTCAAAAAACTAAAGTTAGAAATATGTCAAGCGTTCAAAATATATTAGTAGGGGTGCCACAGGGGTGTAAATTAGGGCCATTACTGTTTATTATTTATATAAATGACATTTCTGGCATTTTATAACACTGCAAAATTCAAATATTTGCGTACAATACATTGATATACATACTGTAATAAACAAAAGTATATAGACAAATTAATATTGTGCTGTATTTTTTTTTAACTTGTTTCATTAATACACCAACCTGTATATATAATTCGTTATAGCATAATTCTCACTTATACATAAATAAATTCAATATACTCCCTTCAATAAAAAATTAATTGAAAAAAACTGGAACTATGAAGGACCAAAATATATATGGACAAAACAAAACAATCATAGAAAAAAGAAGCAAAGTTCATTGAATTATAGAAAACCAACTATGTTTGTGTTAATATTTTGTAGCATAACGATTATTATCAATCAGCGCCAGGCGTCGTCTCGGCACAGATTGTAGAAGTTTCTTGTTATAAGATTCATCAATCTGTCTCCACTTTTGCTCTAAAGTGGCAAAAAGTTCATCCTTGTTTGAATAATTTTTATCTCGTATTTGCTTATCTCAGTATTCCCATAGATTTTCAATGGGGTTTATATCGGGAGACTGTGAAGTCCATTCGAGAACTGGTATTTTTTCATCCAGAAAGAATTTCTTTGCGAGATTTTAAGTGTGCTTCGGGTCATTATCTTGAAGGAAAATTGATTGTAAGGGCATACTGTCTTCCATATAGGGTAACAAGACATGCTTTAGGATGTCTGTGTATTCAAACTTATCCATGATGCCATCTATTCTATGTAAAGGTCCCATCCCAAACCGCCGAAAAGCACCCCCAAACCATAACAGACCCGCCTCAATGTTTGACAGTGGGCAAAGTGTACTTGGGGTTCAATCTTTGTTCACTAGGACATCTAATGTAATAATACCATCTGATCCAAACATATTGAACTTGGATTCGTCACTGAAACATACCTTGTTCCAGTTACAGACGCTCCAATCAAGATGCAACCATCCAAATTGTAATCGGTCCTTACGGTTTTTCCTCGGGCGGAATGCAATTAACTTCAAATCATTTAATCTTCTACTTATAGTTTTCGTAGAAACACTGAAAATTCCTTTGTCTCGATTTTGGCTTTTATTTGTCTTGGGGTTTTAAACGGATCTTCGGACGAAATTACTCTTATTAATGTAACTGATCTAGCATTTAGTTTTCTAGACCGACCACTTCTCTTAGAGGCTTTTTGTTTATATTTGTTCAATATTGCCCGAACTGCTTTACGCTTGAGCTTCAAATTTTTTGTAATGTCCACTTGACGTTGACCATCTTTGTATAACTCAATAATCTTAGTTTTCACACCTAAAGAAATTTCTGGACCACGCGGCATGGTCTTAAAATTACTCAACTTATTCCACAATACTTGATGAAACCAAATTAATCCTCTTCTGACACGAAACTGTACTAAACTCATGTTGAAAAGAATTTGTCTACATATTTTTGTCCCTGATAAAAAAGTGCTTATATTCAGACTTGTATTGTGTTCATTGCAGATAATGTAAAAACAAGGAATTTAGTTTTTCTACTAATAACGCATTTGTTTATGTAGCAATGAAGTATGAATTCGTTTTCTAAAGGTATTTAAGTAGGTAAATATTCATATTTGTCTATATACTTTTGTCCATTACTATATATATATAGCACATAAACATTTGGACACAAATAGTGAGATTAAAAAAAATTATAAATTGATTAAATGTTAAACTTAAATTAAACTCTAATAAAATAAAATGTATGTCAATAGGGAAACATTTAGGTGACATGATTAATAATGAAAAAATTGAAGTACTCAAGTTATTTAAATATGTGAATATTCTTGTTAAAAGTAAACTACTGTTTCATGAGCATTATGAATGCATTAGATCAAAAATATCAAAAAAGATAGATTACTTCTATACAGTTTCCCACAGTCTTAGTATGTATTCCAAAAATAATGTGTATAACACATTCTTCCCCATTTTTTGTATTGTTCAACTGTCTTGCTTACAGCAAATGAAAACTTATTTTCAAAATAACAAATTCTACAAAATAAAGATGGGAAAATAATTTTAAATAAAAACTAATATGCTACCATTGAGTCTATGTTATTAGAACTACAGTAGTTGAATGTAAGAAATTTCATGTGTTGCATAGTTCTCATTTTTATATTCAAATTAAAAAATATTTATTACCATCACATTTAGAAAACTTCACAAACTTAAACAGTATAGATTTTCATCTGCAAAATTGTCATAGTAGCATAATTACCAATTTGTCTTTCAGTTCTGACTAAGAACACAAAAGCATTACAATTGAAGTTATTAGTGTGTGGAAGTTGAGTTGCTGTCAAGTTACCTTTATTTAACAACCATTTAATGCACCAATTAGAAGGGTTTATAGTAGACAATATTTTTTACAATGGAGTGCCTGAACAACAAAATACCTGTCCATATCATATCTAGGAGCTGCGATATGCATCATCTCCACAGCACAACATGCCAACCCAAATGATAGTGGCCACATGGAACTCTTTCTGCCCCAATTCAGCAAATCGTCCAGTCTCGCCAAAGCATACTCGGCTAGATTACTTCTTGATACTTGGAAAGGGGAATAAGGTCTAACAGAGCTTTGGTTTTGTTGACTATCACTTTGGGTTTTGGGAGACGTAGACTGGTGCTGTTTCTGCAGTTGAACGTTTCCGAAACTTCCGGACACTGTCTTTAATAAGTTTTGCGTTCCCAGAAGATCTTTGCAAGGAACTAAAGCGTTGCGCAGCATCCTGTAAGATTTAAAAACAAAAGGTATTAATAGGTTATGCGTAGGAGTAGCCCAAACAGAAAAAATAGTATACACACATTGATACTATTACAGATAACTCATATAATCAGCCAGGCATACCTGAATGTGTCTTTGTACAGCTTATGAATGTTACCCTTTTCCTTTTGCTAGATCTTATTCTGATATTTTACGTAACTCAAAACATGTAGAAAAACTTTAACTGACATGGAACACTCACAAGGTCACATATTGCTATGCTATGACAACAATGATTAACTGTCAAAAATGACAGATTCGAATAGAGATGGCAACCAATGTGTGAGCTAGTAATTATTCTAAATTGCTTTTCTCGCCAAAGCCACGAAAGCAAAATTGTTATATTTCTGATTTAACAGTTGTCACCTACAGTGTACGCTGTATGACAATTTGTGATATTTATGTGAATTTTCTGTACAGAGTTTTTTCGTAAAACTCGTGTTTCGCCTCATTTCACTTAAAATATCTCGTTATAAACCGGCTGACCGTTGGTAGCTCCAGCAGTAGAGGTCATTCATAGATACCATATACAGAAACGATAAAATTAACTGAACATTTAAATGATGCATATGACTTGACTTCTACTCAGCAGAATCTGCCCAAAATTAGTCTGGTACATATGGCCATGGAATTCTTTGGTTAGAAATAATTATTTCTGCTGGTAATGATTGTCGTCTTTTAATGACTAAAATTAACTGGGTTTTCCCAGCATTCAATATAATTCTACAACAGATACATCAATCCAGCAGCTGAGCCACAGCCTCTAGTTATCAGTGCTGTACGAGTATCATCAGCATACAGCAGTCTGTCCGTGTGCGGTATACGAGGAATATACGCAGGGTAGATAATGTATAATGTCGCAGAGTCTTTTAGAGAGGGAAGTGACGTCTCTATTTTCAGTGATAATGTCAAACAAGGTTAACGTATATGCAAATTATTTGTGAATCGAGTTTGGTAATTCGATAAGCTGCATACCTCAACTTTTGCCTCATTTTACAGCTAAGATAATTCATCAATTGTGATATATATTAATTAATGTTAACATTTGGGCATGCGGTATCTGTGATTCCAGAGTTTTAGCAAACACAAGTACCACATACGTAAACGTCAACATTAACCTTATTGACATTCATCTCAAACGAGTTTTACGTATCTTAGGCCCGTATCGTCAGTCGACCCTACAAATATTGTAGGGCGCCTTTATGGCCTCCTTGATTGTCATAGTTTTCTACTTCTCCGTGTCAGAATTCTATTTTGAGGTTATGTCACGAACATCTATTTGCATCAAATTGTGCTTGCTTTTGAGTTATATCATGTTTTATCAGCCTGAAATTTCCTACAATTTAAAAGGAAAACATATCTTCACAATAGGAGAGCGCTGACGCTGATACGGGGCAAGTGCAATCTAGAAATTTTTGAAGGAGAGAAAGGATTATGACAATCAAGGAGGCCATAAACGCGCCCTACAATTGTAGGGACGACTGACGATACGGGCCTTAATTATATCCTTTACTGCGCACGTGTCTATTACGTCAAACGTGACAGCAAACGACAGCTGATTATCTAGTTACCGAGTAATTAATCGTATCCAACCTTTTACAAATACCCTACCGTAATGTTCCCATCACTATTAAGTAACACCTGCTCAGACGTTCTTCTGTGTCAAACCATCTAACCTCACAAACACAAACTCAAAACCTCACTTTTCTTTTTCGACCTCATGAGTTGTATCTGTTTGTGATACTCCCTTTTTCTTGTGCTTTTACCCATTTTTCATAATAATGACTAGGTTCGCTAGAGCTAAAGGTTCTAAAGCTTCGAATGAAAAGCTTCCAGAGAAACCAACATCATGGAGCATTATGAAGCAGCAACTTTTGGAGAAAACGAACAGTGTAGAAGACAAAAGGAAGTATTTGGAAGTCAAAAATCAGCGGAACGCCAGTTATCAGAAGTTTCTTGCAGAGAAGGAAGAAGAGGAGAGCAAGAACGTGAAATGGGCAGATTTCCCAGGTGCTAATCTTACAAAAAGCAATAAAAAGAAAGCTGGTGTAACAAAAAAGAAAAGCAAACCTATCTTGTCTAGTGAAGCATCTTTTGACGAGTCTGATGATGAGGAATTTAATGAACTAAAGGCAAAGATAGACAAGGCTTTGGAGGAGCAAGAAGCTAATAGTGAGAGTGATGCACCTGAAGAGCATAGTTCCAAAAATGAGGTGAAGCCACCTGAAGTAGCTAAAACAAGAAAGGTAAGATCCTAAACAGCATTCACATACCTGTTACATCATTAGTCTAGTCACAACTCTCTTAGCCACCAAAACCAAGCACGAGTACAGTGCAGAAGAAATTCTGCATTCGAGTGGCATGAATTTTGCAATATTGCAAAGAACTGATAAAAATATCTTTATATCATATTGGCTGAATTTTCCTTGCAGAACTGACAAACATTTCAGTTGTCATACCTTAGATTTGTATTGATATTTTAGAAAAGAACTATAACTAAAGGAAAGGAATAACATCCTTAAATTGTTGCCACGGTTTATGACTTCCAAGTATTGTTATTGCAAAGCTATTTCTTTAAAAAATCTTTTTCATGTAATTTGTATACTCGGTGACGTTAGAAGTGTTACACCCAGAAAAAATAATTTCAACTTTTGGCAATAAGGTAGTCTTACATCAAGACTGAAATGATAACATTCACACAAAATTTTATTGACAAGTACAAGTATAACTCTTCTGTCACCGAGTATATGTTTTGAACATTGTACACATGTATCTTTGGTCGGCATGGAACCATATTATTTGCTGAATGCCTGCCAGATGAAAATAAAAACTTATTATCATTATTACTATTATTACTGTTATTATTCTCAATTCTTGTTTGGACATGGATTCAAAGATGATGCTTTATTTCAGGTCAAGGCAAAGAAGCTTAAAATTGTCTCTTATAAAGAATCCAAAGTAATTTTGAAAAAGGACCAAGATGCAAAAGCTATTGAGCATGAGAAGAAAAGTAAAATCCCTGGTGGCAAAAATACAGGGAATAACAAGAATGCTCAGCAGACAACTGAAAGCGAGAACAAACTTTCAGAACTAGATTTGAGGAAAAAAGAAAAGAAGTTGGAAAGAAGAAGAAAGCAGGTCGAGAAGAAGAAAGCAGTTAAGCTTCAAATGAAGGCTGAAAAAATGAATAAAAAAGATGGTGATAAAAAAGGAGAGGTAAATCAAGAGTCTACGAATAAACCAGATCCTAGTGAAGAGGAACTGAAAAAAATGGAAAAAAAGAAAGAAAAAAAGCTCAAGCAACTAGAAAGGAGAAAACTGAAAAAAAAGTTACTAAAAGAGCAAAAGGAAGCTGAACTAAAGCTTGTTGAAACTGATGTGGATAAAAGGCAAAATAGATGTGAAGCAGATGATCCACTCATCACGAGCAATCTAGAGCCCAAGCTAAAAAACAACTTCAACAAGGGTGAGTATTATAAAGATGTTCTTAATGTTCTTAAATAAAATTTTATTGACAAATCAAGGAAAATGGTTTTTGTTACTAGTTTGAATGAGGTATTTGACTTGAACATCATCGATTTTAGGAAATAAAGGTATAGAGAAAATAAATCAGGAACATAATAGTAACCAGGGTAATTATAATAAAAAACTTTTACTTCAAATAATGAGGAACCTCACGAGCAAGACTCGAGGCCCAAGAAGAGGAAAGATAAATCATCTGACAAGGAACCTCAAAGAAAGAAACCATACTTACCAGATAAAATGTGGATAAACGGTGAACAAGTAGAGATAGGCTATGTTGATGGGTTCCCCATCATGAAAAAAGATTCAGAGAGGCTGAAACAGTTGAAGAAGGAAATGATTATGAAAGGATTACCTGGCAGTGAAATTAAAGCTGCCCTGAAGTTAGAGAGACGACGGGCAGAGAAGGCTTTAGCTAGAGAAAAGAAAAAGGTATAGAGAATTTTCCCAATAAAGTGCCTTTTTGGCATGTTTCTTTCTATTGAATTCTGAAATTTTATAAGTTGGAGTGTTATAGCCTTTGAAATAAGTTCATTCATCAGATTAAGCACACTCATCGAAATAAGTAAAAATATATAGGATGTCCCATTTAAAAATCGAAAGTTGGAGTCAAACGTACGTCAAAGCAAGTGGATATGTCAAACAATGTAAATTCATCTATAATACGCACCCCAGAATTTTGTTTCTCTATCTTCTAAAATAAAAAAGTTAGGGGTGAGCCACCTTGGAGAATCACCCGGTATAGAAATACGATAATTCATATCTTTTTATTCTAGGTGTGTTTCAATTGCCGAAAGTCCGGCCACAACCTTTCTGAATGCCCAGAACTGGGCAAAGACCAACTTGTAGCCACTACTGGAAGTGGCATCTGTTTCAAATGCGGATCCACTGAGCATAGTCACTTGGACTGCAAAGTTGTAAAGGGCCAGTCTTTCAACTATGCTCAATGTTTCATTTGCAACGAGCAGGGACATATAGCGAGGCAGTGCCCGGACAATCCCAAAGGTTTATATCCAAAAGGTATGTTAATCAGATTATATCAATCAAAGTTCCTTCTTTTGTTACTCTCGACCGAAACGTCATTTACAAGGTCTGCGGCAAAGTAAACAGGACAAGATATCCGATACAAGTAGCGCTATCTATTATCTAGGGTTGCATCTTTCATTGATGCCCTGTCAAAATTTCATGACCACTTCACGCGGAGTTATCGCGCTCAAAGTGACAGCACCTTTTTAGCATCGGTCGAAAAAATGAGCATCGGACAAAGAGCAATATTATATTCTTTGTTAACGTTGGTAAAACATTTACCGAAACGCATCAGATGTTTATGAAAGTGTATGGTGATGATTGTTTATGTCATAGCGTCGGACCGTCGGAAAAGTGCGTGAATTTATGAAAACTGATACAATATCTTCATTGGGATACATAGAAATGGAATTAAATATCTCTAAAGATGTGTTAACGGTTTGTTCCGCACAAGCAGACGGATAACCAAAAAATGCTTCGAAATTTCTATACAACATTGTAACTGGTGTTGATACGTGGTCTTTTCAATACGACATACCTTGTATGTCACGTTAAAACAAACGTGGCTACTCGATCGCTGCTTCAATGGAAGAATTTGGAGATCGCGTACTGATGTTTGCTTTGACTAGGCCGACAACTTTTTCCCACGGTATCGACCCCCCATACATTATTTATAACATCAAAATATATAATTATTTTTTCCAGGTGGAGGTTGTAATGTATGTGGAGATGTTAGCCACTTGAAAAAAGATTGTCCTTCTTACCAAGAGCAGCAACAAAAACAGAACGACACGTTTAAATTGGGAACTTTGGGAACTTCTAACCCTGACGCAGACGATTATGATTCTACACATAAAGTGCAAAATGTCAATAATAATAGTAGGCCAAATAAAATTATAAAGTTTTAGCGCTTGTGTATCTCTTGATCCCTTTTCAGCCACAAAATATACATAAAACAGTGAATATTGGAGAGAGAATTATTAATTACTAACGAATATAGCCATTTAATATGCAATTATTTCAGTTATTAACGGATTCTACCTGAGGATATACAACATAATATCCACGAATCCGAAAAATTATAGAACACGAAATGAGATACTGTAGCGTAATCTACAGGGTGGCCCAACGAAAAGGTCGCACCCCCATTTGTGACTCTCCTGGTATATGTTTGGAAAAACGCTGGGACATGGCAATTTTGATTTGTAGGGGGACGTCTTTTCATCTATAGCCGTACAATACAGGGTGGTCCAAAAATAAGTTTTTGCGTTACACTTTAGATTTTTAGATTTTATTTAATTTTTAAATTATCCATGAAGTTTTTAGTAACTATTGTATAATAAAGTTTATACCTATCTCCAATCGTTGTGAAGCTATTTGAGTTTATAATAAAATCCTAGAAATTGTGATAAGGGATTATATCGTAAAAATAATATTCAATATAGTTCCCATAGTAACAAGTCTTTAAAATTAAAAACAAGTCTCTAAGTATTGAAAATACAAAAAATAACGTGTACAGCACACGCACATTGAAGTTAAACTAAAAATTAATTTGCTACAAAGAGATAGGTCAATGTGGTAATAAGTGCTGAAAGTGGTGTCTATTTACCTCCATGCAATAATAAAGATACAAAAGCTATTCAGCATGAAAAGAAAAGTAAAATCCCTGATAACAAAAATACAGAGAATAACAAGAATGCTCAGAAGTCGACTGAAAGCGAGAACAATCTTTCAGAACTAGATTTGAAGAAAAAAGAAAAGAAGTTGGAAAGAAGAAGAAAGCAGGTCGAGAAAAAATCCTTTTTCAGCCTCAAAATATACATAAAACAAACAGTGAATATTTGATGAGAAATTGTAATTACTAACGAATATAGTCATTTAATCTGCAATTATTTCAGTCATTAATTAACGGATTCAACCTGAGGATATACAACATAATTCTATATCCACGCGTCCGAAAAATTATAGGACATGAAATGAGATAGTGTAGCGTAATCTACAGGGTGGCCCAACGGAAAGGTCGCACCCGCATTTGTGCCTCTCCTGGTATATGTTGGGAAAAACGCTCGGACACATCAATATTGATTTCTAGGGGGACGTCTTTTAATCTATAGCCGTACAATACAGGGTGATCCAAAAATAAGATATTGCGTTACACTTCAGACTTTTAAAATGGAAACCCCCATGAATTTGTTTAGTAACTTTCTATAATAAAGTTTATACTATCTATTTGAACCCAGGTAAAAACGCTACAATACAAAAGTTACTAAAAACTTCATGAAAAATCTAAAAATTAAAAAATACATATCTTAGGACTGCATCATTTTTCTTTCATGTAAAGATATTCCAATGCTGACAGAAGACAGCAACCAAGCCCAGACCGATTCTTGAGGCAAGTGCATTAGTAAAGATTAAGAAAATTTGTCGGTATGAAATTTTTGAAATCAAAGCAGTAAGAAGCATGTGCATCAGCCTCTTGTTGCGTTCTCATGCATTTTTAAAGTTTGATTTGATTGCCGTAACTACCTTTTACATCGAAAGAGAGCGTTCTTATCAGGTAAAGACTATACAGGGTGGATCAAAAGTCAAAAACAGATACGGGGTGCTGAAGTTTAAAAATAAAATACTTTTAATATATTCAAAATCGTCAACTGGAATGAACTAAAATGTAGTACGTGGATTTACCAAAGTATTATCCACATTCCAAAGTCTTTACTTAACATTAACGTGCACCAGTGGCGGGGATTCAGGGGATTAGTGACATTATTTTAAAAAAGGTTTTTACGCGGTCATATCTAAGACTTTGGCAATATGGAATTGCCAAACTTCCCATAGTTAGAGGGCATGGTGTCCGGCACACTGTCCAAGAGGAACTGGAAGTGATTAATTTGTAATCAAGTGTAAGGGCGAAATTTTTGTGAGTGGTTACTGCAAACGCATAATCAAAATGCAGATTTTATTGATTTGGTTTTTACAAGGAGTGTGGAACCTTCAATTCTCACAATGAACATATTTGGTAGTTAGAAAATTCCCGTTCTGTAAGAATCCACTCGTTTCAACACAGATTTTCAAGAAATGTCAGGTGCGGCATTTTCAATGGCGAACTGTTTATGCACGTATTGCCACAATGTGGTATCAGCACGCCGGTGCTCCACCGCATGTTCGTCGTGACCTAACCGCATGGTTAAATAATCATTTTACTCAACGATGGATTGGCAGAAACGGACATTGGCCTGCGAGGTCTCCCGATTTAAACCCCTTGACTTCCTCTTGTGGGTCGCTTTTAAACAACTTGTGTATGCTGCAAAATACGTTATTCTTTGTTAAAAAGAAGCCGTACATGTATCCGTCAGAATGGTGGTCTTTTTGAACATATATTGAAATGAAGATTATCTAATTTGTTTTCCAATTTTTACGAAAACAATGCACTCTATGAAAAACACAAGATATTTGTATTTAATTGAAGGTTATATTCGAAAAATCGCGCGTAATTAAAAAACAAACAGTGGCGTACTATTTTTATTTGGAAAAATAATGCCACTAATCCCCTATATCTCCGGCACTGATGCACGTTAATTTTGAGTGCTTTTGAATGTGGACAATACTTAGATAAATCCACATACCAAATTTTAGATCATTCCGGTTGACTGTTTTGAAGATATTAAAAAAAAATGTTTTTTATTTTTAAACTTCAACACCCCGTATCTTTTTAACGAAGCCTACGAGAAAAAAATGTTACATAGAAGACCCCCCTTAAAATGCGGTCCTGTGTATGTTTCATTTTTGGTCACGACTTGTGAATCACCCTGTATATACATGTATCTATTTCTGCAGCGTGTCTGAATCTTCTGTAGCCAGAACTCGACATGACCTGTAATAATTTGATTCTGAAAAATACGAAGGCAATAAAAATACACATATATTTATAGGATATGAATCAATGAACATTTCATGCACGAAAACTGCTAGTCAGATTTCACCTATAAAAGAATACATTTTTGTGTTACAACATATATTAATTAAAAAAAAAAGAATACTCAAAAACATGGAAGTTACCATTCTAAAAAAAAACAAAATGTAAAAGTACAATGAATTAAGTGCATAATTAGGGCAAAATAGTTTCATATACACATACTTCTATGTACATTGCAAGATGCATTATATGTTAAGTTGACCAACCACTTTGTTACTAAATATACAAATATTTGAAATATAAATAAAACATTGAAACACTAGATAGGAAAATTATAAATACAGGTCCAGCGGAAAAGTTCACACTTCAAATTTAAATTGCATATATTGGGCACCAACGGACCCAAAACAGAAACACAACTGCATAGTCCAAAGGTGACTGTTTGGTGTGTCATACTCTAGCGGTATTATTGTGCCATATTTCTTTGAAGATGAAAACGGTCATGTATTGACAGTCAATTCCGATCGATACAAGGACATGATTGACACTTTCTTGCTGCTACTGTAAGAACAGAACGTCGATTTAACATAAACACATGGTTTCAACAGGATGTAGCCACTGCGCATACTCCATAGAATCCATGGACACGGTGAAAGCACTTTTTCCCCAAAAACTTATATCGAAGTTTGGAGACATTCACTGGCCTCCTGGGTCACCAGACCTTATGCCATGCGCTTATCTAAAGCCAAAGTGTATTCCAATAATCCAAGAACAGTGGAGGAGCTTAAGGACGAGAAATAAACAACTACAACGTCACTCCGGAACTCTGCAAGATACTGTTTCAGAATTTGCGCGCTCGATTAGAAGGATGACAAACATTTGGGCGGAATGATGTTTAAGAAATAAAACTCGCCGAATTTACGAATATGTTGATAGTAATAAATATGTTCTTATCATTAAGTTTGTGTTTTATTTCTTGAATCAAAAAGTGAACTGTTCCACTGGACATGTTATTATCATCATCATGAAAGTGGCTGGAACACAAAAGCTTCTCAACAAATTAAACTTTAAATTGACACCTACCTGATTAGCTTTATTATCAAAAGGGATTTGTCAATTTGAAATCCTAATTTTGCCTAAACTCAATACCCTGCGAAGTTGCGTATTCAGCTACTTAAAAAAAAAATGCCGCTTAGGAAGTTTCAACGTCAATCTAGGACATTCTGATTTTTTGAAATAACTAAAGTTTGGCAATGGCAACGTAGGACGTATTATACATTTTTGGAATCAGAATTGAAAACTCTATTCATCTATGCAAAAGTCCAATATGCCGTCAATAAGAAGAAATAAAGTTGATGTCGGAGAACAAGAGGCGAAACGTCATATCGAAATTCTAATTAAGCCATCTTGTAGAGGAGAAAAAGTGGCAATATTAATGTGCAATTTATCCCACTACAAATGAAGTCAAAAAAAAATAAAACAATTCTGGGAAAATTCGGTTTTTCCGTCTCTCTACGGGAGTACTTGGAATTACGAAACTTTTTAATCGTCGTTTTGTTGATTTGCAACTTGACCCCCGCTTAAGCGACTTTGTATCTCTTGCAGTTTCCGAGATCCCAAAGGCGAAGATCGAATTCAAACTCTGTATAAAAAATAACCAAAACATTTCACGATCACAATGCTTCGGTATGTCAGAAAGAACAACCAATCCCGTGTCGTAGCACTGATTAATATATGAATTTAACTATAGACATGACACAATTTTTTATTTTGCTTCAAGAAGTACTTTGGAACTAACTCATGTGCCAGCCTCAAAAAGATACTATTTGTAAAGGGCGCCATAATTAACGCAAGATTTGAATTGGTCCCCGTGTTTGCAGTAAATTGTAGGCAGTCCTGAAAAAAGAACATTTTGACATCTGAGAGGTTAGGGTTAGTAAAAATGGAGCGTTATACGTCAGCAAAACCGTGGAGGCCATTTGTCCAATGTGCTAAACCTACCCTAAATACTTTATGCTTCAATAACAACCTAAAGACATAAAACCGTGTTTTATATCTAATTCAAAATTTGCGTTAATTTTGGGACACCCTTTATTTATTAGGTTGTTCGGAGAGTTCTTGCAGTTTTTGTTATGTATATTTTAAATGATGAATTTTACACTAAAATGTATTTATAATACTTTGACCTTATACAGGGTGTAAAGTTAGTAGTGGATCAACGAAAGTCAGGTGATAGAGGGCTTCTAAACCTATCGAAAGAGCCCCTATATGTGTGGTCCGAAATTTTATAGTTCAGGAAATATTTGCAATTCTGTGAAATTTCGAAAAAAAAAAACGGGATAATGAACTTTCAATCGGTTACAAATAAACCATTGGGTTTAGGGCTGTGATTTTCTTTTGAGATGAGCTAAATGGTTAGTTTTAGCAATAGTTGACACTTTTTAACAGCGCTAATTATAAATCAACGCAAAAAATCCTAAATTAATTTTTTTTGTGAAAAATCTTTTCCATCTCTCAACTTTGCAGGGCGGTAAAAAAATTGAGGTTGTATTTCATTATTCATTTTTTTGTAAAAACTATTTCAATCCACCTAGAATAAACCATGAAAATTTCAGCTTGCTTAAAAAATCTGTATGTTTTCACAGAGGTGAGGAGAAATTCTATTTTACGAGCTACAGTCCAAATGACTTGATGGATTTTGACATATGAGGTATTGTTAGATTCGTCCTACCAGTGCGAGTGATTCTGTGTGTGTTGACATTTTGTTAAATCAAAATGGCGGATTTTTTACGCAAATAGCCATATTACGAGGTATGTATTTTAAGTTTTGCATATAGAAACATAGTAGTCCGCGTGGATCGAATGTCAGTACTGAATCTTAACATCACTCTTTAGTAAACTTAAATTCAAAGTTTCACAACAATACGTGCAGTGTTCTCACTACAGTGAATTTTTAAGTGTCTCCAAGTCATTAGAAAAATGGAACTCAACCGAGAACATTTTCGCGCCATAATTTATTACAACTTTCAGAGACACCTGTTGACTGAAGAGCAGAAAGCAGCCAGGGTTAATTGGTGTTAAAAAACGCTTGACCGTTTCAATTTCGGAAACTCAAAAAATGTGTACAGCATTGTTAGTGGTGATGAATCGTGGATTTACTGTTATGAATCAGAAAATAAACGGCAGTCGGCTGTTTGGGTGTTCCAAGGTGAAGAAAAGCCAACAAAAGTGATCCGTTCTCGAAGTGTTTCGAGAAAGATGGTCGCGACATTTGTGTCAAAAGCGGGACATATTGCAACAATTCCTCTTAATGAGCAAAGAACTGTTACTGCGGATTGGTATACCACCAGTTGTTTTCCAAAAGTCATCACCGAGCTTCGAAAAATCAACCCCGAAAGAAGAATCATTCTCCACCAAGACAAAGCAAACTCGCACACAGCCCAAAAAACAAGGCAGTATTTAAAGGAAGAAAACGTGGAATTAGTGGGCCATCCTCCATATAGTCCCGATCTTAGTCCTAACGATTTCTTCACTTTCCCGAAAATTAAAAACAGACTGCGTGGTCAAAGGCTCCAGTCACCAGAAGAAGCAGTTGACGCATTCAAAAATGCCGTTTCGGATCTGCCAGCAAACGAGTGGAATAAGTGCTTCGAAAATTGGTTCGAGATTTTCTTATTAAAGTTCAAATCAGGTAGAGAAGTTGCCGAGACAGCTCGCGATATCCACGATGTATTTGGCGAAGGAACCACTAACGAACGTACGGCACAATGGTGGTTCAAGAAATTCCGCAGCGGTGACGAGAGCCTTGAAGATGAAATGAGTAGTGGTCGGCCACATGATGTCGACGACGACGAATTAAAGGCCCTGGAGGAAGAAAACTCGCGCACAACTATTCGTGAGCTTGCTGAGGAGCTTAGTGTGGGTATTGCGATTATTTCCGACCACTGGAAACGAATCGGAAAGTAAAAAAGCTCGATGAATGCGAAGATCAGAAAAATCCTCGTTTTGAGGTGGCGTATGCCCTTCTTATACGCAACAAAAACGACCCGTTTCTTGACTGGATTGTGACATGTGATGAAAAGTGGATTCTCTACGACAATAGGCGACGTTCTGCGCAGTGATTGGACAGCAACGGGCTCCACAACAGAAGGTTATGACGACTGTTTGGTGGTTTGCAGCCGGTCTCATCCACCACAGCTTTCTAAATCCGGGAGCACTACGGCGCAGAAGTACTGCCAGCAAATCGACGTAATGCATGAGAAGCTCCGACATATCTGCCATAGATTGGTCAATACGAAGCGACCAATTCTCCTCCACGACAACTCTCGGCCACACGTCGCACAACCGACCCTGCAAAAACTGAAAGAATTGGGCTATAAAACTCTGCCTTATACACCATATTCGCCGAACATCTCGCCCACCGACTACCACTTTTTCAAACACCTAGACAGCGAGAAACGCTTTAATAACCATGACTTCAATGAGTTCATCGCCTCCAGAACTGCGGATTTCTACGTTCGCGGCATAAATAAACTTGTTTCTCGTCGGCAAAACTGTACTCATTCTAATGGTTTTTATTTTGATTAATAAGGTTTTGTTAAAGCTCTGAATTTGAAAGTTAGAACACCGCAAGAGCTTTCCGAACAACCTAATAGTAAGTCACTGAAATAAAACTCGACCTTAGCTGGCACCAACAACAATACCGAGGACCATAAAAGAGCAAGCCCGCTAGGTTCATTTTAAAATAATCCAACTAAAGTTTGCGCAGCGAGAGAAAGCGACGTGCCACTTGATGGCAGCAAGTGTCTCCGCGGTTTCCTCCCTGAATGACCGTGCAACTTAACTCCCGTTTCTTTACTAGATAGGTGGCGCCATGGTGATGGTACATTCTCCAATAGTACCGATCGAGTTCTGCAAAAGTCCAATATTTTGCAAGAAGCTGTTCCTGTCGTCCGCCGTCATCGCATCTTCTTGTATTTCGATTTCTGGTTCCATGACCATCGCGTCGTTACCTGGTTCGTTGATGGCCGTGGGTGGTGCGGTGAGGTATCTGAGGCTATCTGATGGTACCACCTCTATCATATGGTTCTCAGCTTTTGGCTGATGTGCCGATTCTGGGAAATGATGCTGGTACTGCTGATGTGCTGGTCCTGGGAAATGATAAATTATTTATGTCGCTGGATGAGAATAGCCTAATAACTCTATTATGTATCCATCGAACAAAGAGACCAAACCTAAACGTATTCACGTATACTCCATGTAATCGCGCTCCAAAAATTATTGCAGGCATGTATAGGGTCCAAACGTAAAGCTTGGAATTAATGTATTTTTTTAATTTAACTGTCATGCCCAAAGAGAAAACAACTGTCTATTGTTGTTTTTAGTAGAAGTGCTTTATCAAGAAATTGTACTCGAAATGTGTCGTGAGGCGCATTTATAAAGCAGGATTTTAAAAAATGTCTTGACACATTAAAACGATAATTGCATATGCATACAAGTATACCTAACCACCGCTTGAACAGGGACGTCAGTGTGCAAACAGTTAATTTTAATATTAAACTAAAAAATGAATAGTTAGGTGAAGAGAAAAAGGATTTGAAGACATAATAATATATATACTAAGTGACATATAAATCCGAACACCCAGTTTAAATGGTTTTATTTTAATAAAATTTTGTATAAGTACTTAATGAAGCATAATAAGTAAATGATAAAAATTTCATAATGATTGCACTGCTTTAAAGCCCTTTGACCTTTAATAATGTGTGGATGCACCCTGATGTGCTACGCATTCTCCAACGCGCCTAGGCATGCTTCTGATCAGGTGGTCAATGTCCTCCTGTGGTATCTCATTCCAGGCAACCACCAACTCCTCTCGAAGTGCTTCTAGAGTCTGAGAAGGACGTTGCAAATTGAGCAATCTCCTACCCATCATATCCCACACGTGCTCAATTGGGGATAAGTCGGGAGATCTTGGTGGCCATGGCAACAATGTGACATCATTATGTTGAAAGAAGTCTATTGTGACTCTTGCAACATGTGGTCGGGCATTATCTTGTTGGAAAGTTGGATCTGCCAGGGTGTCAAGATAGGGTAAAAGATGGGGTTCTAGAACTTCGTGGATATAATGCTGCGCGTTCATGTTACCTCTGATGAAGATTAAAGGTGACCTGGAACCATAAGCTATAGCACCCCAAACCATAACTCCAACATGTCTTTCAACAAAAAACTGTGGATTCCTCCTTTCACCACGTCGCCTTCTAACCCTGGCACGACCATCGTGCATGCCTAAACAAAATCGAGACTCGTCACTAAAGACAATACTGTTCCATTCTTGATCCCAGAGTGACCGTTGTCTGCACCACTCAAGGCGATTACGTCGGTGTTCTCGAGTTAAAGGGAGGACCCAGTGTGGCCGGTATGAAAACAAGCCAAAACTTCTCATTCGTCGGTAAACACTTCGCATGCCAATAGGTCTTCCGTGTTCTGCAAACCATTCATTTGCAATGGACCTGGTAGTGGAGAAACGGTCGCTTAAGGCCAATAATCTTAGGCGGCGATCTTCACGGTCTGTTGTTCTACGGCGGCGTCCACTGAAACTTGCTCTTTGCGTACGGCCTTCTCGAAGCCATGCCTGACAACACCTAACCACAGTGTCTACACTTCTTTGCACTCTAACTGCAATTGCCCGAAAAGAAAGTCCAGCTTCCCGAAGTCCCACTATACGGCCCCTATCAAACTCACTAAGTTGACGAAATCGTACAGGTCTCCGTACTCTAGGCATCGTAACCGATCGTAAAGGATGTCAAGAACCAAAATCCGCCAACGTTGATTCTTTACTGCGGCTGAAATATTCATTTTTAGAGCGTTAGTGAATTAAAAAAAAAGCAGTATAAAAACCGGAATGTCCAACTGGTAAGGCTGAAAATTTTTTCACTTGTTATTTACAGTAAGATAAATACATTCACCAACTTTTATTACAATAAAACCATTTAAACTGGGTGTTCGGATTTATATGTCACTTAGTATACTAATTATACAAAAATTTATTGCACAGACATTTTACCTCTAAAACCGGAAATACATATATTTGAAAATGGAAATCATTCTAGATCTGAGGCCGTGGAGCTCCCACTGTCATCAAGACTTATGATTGAAGGGGCAACGTGAGTATCAATGATACCGTCTAATTCCCACATTTTAGGTTCGACCTTTTCTTTTACATGCTGATACATTTTCCTCTTATTCGGTGTTATTCTTTGTATAGCTTCAGGAAAAATATATTTAAGGTCAGAAAATTAAAAACATTTATTTTCTGCTGCAACAAATGAGCTCAATCGGATTGAGCTCACAATGGTAAGGAGGCAGTCGTAAAACAGTTTTATTTTTGTTTCTTGGCCATTTCATCAATTATGTTCAGGTTATATTTATTTTTATGCGTCGTGACAACTTGTAACAATTCTGCCTTAACTGTTGTATCATCATAACCAATCTTTTTATTTTTAAGCCACCCTTGATTTCTGATTTTTTTTGTGACGTTGTTGAAATTTTCTCTAATTTTCTCGTGCGGAATGAGGCATTATCTAATACTATAACCGAATTATCTTCAAGCTTCGGTAGAGAAAAATAATACATTTTAAACACTTTAAAACCGCTCCTATTGAAAGCATTAAAAACGCCAGCATGCACGGTTGTATCGTCTCCCACTCCACCCACTGGTCTGTCATTGGTTTTGTGTGAGGGCTCGACCTATTCTGCCCAATCACAGTTATGCTTCCTCTCTCTTGAAATATATCACTGTACTGATCACGCAATAATAATTTTTTTGGTTTAGTCTCTTTCTTCGATACATACATAATAGTACACTTTTCCAAGAAAGTAGGGCACTCTTAAACAATAACCAAAAATATACAGTATTTTGCCAGATCTGCTTGTGCCATTCAGTCGATTTATTGTATGTCCTATTGCGTTGATTATCGTAAGCTCCAAGACGCCCAACCATATACAGTCAAATTCCCTTTCAGGGACACCCCTCTTACACGGACACATCCTTTAAACGTAAAGTTTCCCATGGTCCCGATAGACTCTCATTTAATTTGCACACGCTTTCGATTGAATTTCCATTCAGTATTCGTCTGACGTCTACGAGGGATGTCTTTTAAGTTTTGCATATAGAAACATAGTAGGCCACGCGGATCGAGTTAACTTAAATTCAAAGTTTCACAACAATACGTGCAGTGTTCTCACTACAGTGAATTTTTAACTGTCACCAAGTCATTAGAAAAATGGAACTCAATCGAGAACATTTGCGCGCCATAATTTATTACAACTTTCAATTATCGCAACAAGAATGCCTTGCTGAGTTACTGTTTTCGGCAACGAAGCGCCACATCAGTAGACAATTTCCCGTTGGTATGGGGAATTGAAACGTGGACGGGTGAGTCTTAGCGACGATCCCAGGGTGGGTGCACAAAAAACGGGAGTCACCCAGGAAAACGTCGATGCTGTGCGCAAACTCATCATTGAAGATAGACATGTGACATATCGCGAGATTGAGGCGTCCTTGAAGATCTCAAAGACCTCAATTAAAAAAAAATTACATGAAGAATTAGGAGTAAGAAAATTAGTTTCTCGTTGGATACCCCACCTGTTGACTGAAGAGCAGAAAGCAGCCAGGGTTAATTGGTGTCAAAAAACGTTTGAACGTTTCAATTCCGGAAACTCAAAAAATGTGTACAGCATTGTTAGTGGTGATGAATCGTGGGTTTACTGTTATGAACCAGAAAATAAACGACATTCGGCTGTTTGGGTGTTCCAACGTGAAGAAAAGCCAACAAAAGTCATCCGTTCTCGAAGTGTTTCGAAAACGATGGTCGCGACATTTGTGTCAAAAGCGGGTCATAGTGCAACAATTCCTCTTAATGAGCAAAGAACTGTTACTGTGGATTGGTATATCACCATTTGTTTGCCAAAAGTCATCACCGAGCTTCGACAAAGCAACCCCGAAAGAAGAATCATCCTCCACCAAGACAATGCAAGCTCGCACACAGCCCAAAAACCAAGGTAGTATTTAACGGGAGAAAACGTGGAATTATTGGACCTTCCTCCATATAGTCCCGATCTAAGTTCTAACGATTTCTTTACTTTCCCAAAAATTAAAAACACACTGGGTGGTCAAAGGTTCCAGTCACCAGAAGAAGCAGTTGACGCATTCAAAAATACCGTTTTGGATCTGCCAGCAAAAGAGTGCTTCGAAAATTGGTTCGAGCGCATGCAGATGTGTATTAATCTTCGTGGAGAATACTTCGAAAAACAATAATCATTTAAAACTACCTACCGTGTTGTTTTATTTCCATATGCAAAACTTAAAAGACATCCCTCGTATGCGGAAAAGGCACAGTAGGCGACACATTCATTGCAGAAATGTCCCCAAATAGAAAAATTCTGACGCTTAAACAAAACATTGAGATTGCTGAAGTTCAGAATAAAGACAAGTTAAGTGTAAGGAACTTATCGAAACGTTTTAACATTGGAAAAACACACGCCGCAGATATGATTAAACATAAAGAAATGCTTCTAAAGAAATAGATATCGAACAGCAATTTGAATGAATAAAGAAGATTTTTGACAAAATAGACAAATTATGCATATCAATTCTAAAATAAAAAGAGTGAGATTTTCAATAGGTTGCAGTTCATTTGGCAAGAACCGCTTGGGATCAAGTAACACAAAAAACATTTTGATCACCTGAAAGTTTTTCGAGTATGTCCTAAATGATGAGAAACACGACCGTTGATTCCTTAAAAAATTGTATCGAGAACACCATGCTTCCTATCCAATTTACTACTACTCTACATACTTGTATTACCGGATAGACGACAGACGGAAATGAGAGACATGTTTGTTTCCGGTATCTCAATCGCGAACTTTTTCGCGATGTAAATATTACCCTAGCCATTTGGCGTGAGGAAGTAGAAACGACGTTCTAAATAAATAGTGTAAATACAGTTGCTGAACCCCCCTGGATGCGCTCTTAACGCGTATATTCAAATCGGGCGAGTAGTTCTGACAAAAATATACTTCTGGCTATTTTATTTTTGATGGGGCGTTCTTGGAGAAGTACCGGGTGCGCCATCTTTTATGTCGGTATTGAAACACCGAATGACTGATATTTACCAACCGAGTGATTTGGTTCTACATGTTTCAGAAACGTGAATTTACTACAATTTTAGTCACGAATCGCTTTACACCGAAACATCGCACGGTGTGGCGCCCAATGGACAAAATTACTTAAAAACATAATTTTTGACATTAGAATTCTGTTGCTTTTATTATACCATTGGATAGATAAATAGTCTGCGATTTACCTATTTTAGCAACTTTAAAGTTAGACATGTCGAGACCTGTCAAGAAAGCGAAAAATCTCTCTGTTTTATTGCTCGGGAAAGATATAAATTTTGTGTCGAAATATATAAATATTTTAACTTTTGCAATATGGCTGGTAATGAGGCTGGTAAGTACATTATATTGCTGTATAGATTTATTTAAAATATAATTATAATTAGATAATTTTTTAAGTTAAAGTGACTATTACCGATTTTTTAATTTTTTTTAAACTTTTGACTTTGTTTAGAGTTTTACAAAAATCACCTCCCATCACCCTAAAATTTTTTTTATTTATTGTTTATCTGTCCATAGTAAGTTTTGATAAAAAGTTTAAATCACGTCATGCCACGTCTAAGGGAGATATAATTTTTTTTAGGACATGGTGCTATTGTCAGAAATAGAGATTTGATTGATGTGTGGATAGAAGCACCGAGAGGACATAGAAAACAGGTGGTTTATGAAAAGATATTATCTCTTATTGATATAACAGATGAACCTTCCAAACATCTTAAAAGTAATATTATGAAATGCAGCCAGTTGTTTGGGTTGAAAATGGCAAATAAATGGCAGAAAGTAGGACAATCTCGGAATCGACTTTTACAAAATCAGGTATATTGGTTAGACAAGATTATATATAGAATAAATAATGATTCTGAAGAAAACACATCTTCGGATGAGGAACAAGAACCTCCTTGTCGCTCAGTTGGACGGCCACGGGTGCCATTTGAAGAGGCATCGAAGAAAACAAAACGAAGACGTGTAGCCGAACTAACCACAGACAGATCTGCAAATGAACTTCAATTTGCTGTAAATGTCGTTTCTGGAAGCAATCACAGTGAGGTCTCGCCACAAATTTTTAGTTTTAGTACAGCTGAAGCTTTAGCCCTTATGGCAGATTTGGATATATCCGTAAAAAATATTTGCTACTCAGGTCTGTTATTAATGGTAAGGCCCAGAACTGTCTTCCTAGTTATAAAGAATTACAGAAAACAAAAAATGCTATCCTCCCTTCACAATTTATTATTACTGAAATTTCTGCAGAAGTTGATTTGCAAGAACTTGTACAGAAAACAGCTGAAAGTATCCTTGAAATAATAAATTTTGAAGAGAGAGATTGCCGGATTAAAGTGATATGCAAGTGGGGATTTGATGGCAGTTCTGGGCATAGCCAATATAAGCAGAAATTTTCTGATTTAGAAAACACCGACGAATTTCTGTTTCTTGTAGCAATGACGCCACTCAGATTGATTGATATGGAAACGAATAAGGTATTGTGGAAAAATGAGAGCCCTTCATCTAATTTATATTGTAGGCAGATCAAGTTTTTATTTAAAAAGGAAAATGCTGATTTAGTGCGGAATACGGAAGAGGAAATAATAACAAAAATTGAAAATTTGATTCCTATTGAGATTAAAACAAAAGAAGGGCACTCTTATATAATTGAAGTTGATATGATGTTAATAATGTTGGACGGCAGTGTTGGAAACGTTCTATTAGAGACAAATTCAACTATGAAGAGCATCATTTGCGGAGCCACACCCAAGGACATGAACACGTTAACAGGGATTAACTGTCCTCCTAACGTAGACAATTACCGGTTTGGTTTGTCAACTTTACACTGCTGGATTCGTCTTTTTGAATGCTTACTCCATATTGGATACCGCCTGCCAATTAAATCTTGGCAGGTTCGTGGGCCTGAAAACAAAGCTATAGTCGAAGTAAACAAAAAACGAATCCAAGCAGAGTTCAGAGCCAAGCTGTCTCTAATAGTTGACAAACCAAAACCCGGGTATGGCTCCTCAAATGATGGCAATACGGCCAGAATTTTTTTCCACAATCCACAAACAAGTTCAGATATCACAGGGGTTGACAGGGAATTAATCGAGAAATTTGCGATCATCTTAGGAGTGTTAGCTAGTGGTTGCGCTATTGATATGGAAAAGTTTGCGTCATTGCTGGAAGAAGCAAGAAATTTGTATGTCCACCTTTATAAGTGGTACAACATAAGGTCCTTGTTCATGGGTGTGAGATAATTGATGCATTTTGTTTGCCCATTGGAGAACTGCCGGAGGATGCGCTTGAGGCTCGCCATAAAGAGGTTAGGAAACATCGATTATCTCACACCAGAAAATGTGCAAGAACAGATATGAATAAGGATCTCATGCGTGTTCTTTTACTTACTTCTGATCCTTTTATATCCTCAAAAAGAAAGGTGAGCTCAAAAAAATATAAGAAATGCAACGAGGCAGTTCAGAACTATTTAAAAAAGCAAGAAAATGATGATTTAGGTATTGACTTAGGTACAATAACGAATGACACAGCACCGAGCAAGAAATCCTATTCCGATTAGAATGGGTATATTTGGTGTTATTTTTTTAATATAGTTTATATTATTATTTCATACATTACCTACTAAGTAATTGTAATTTTGTTAAATATATTTTTTTAAATAAAAACCTAAATATCAATTTCAAATTATACAGATTTATTTTTTATTTGAATTATTCTTATTATTTTTTCAAATAGATAGACAAATTTAATAAATAATATTGCGCCCGCCACAAGTTAGCTACATTATCTTTTAAATCATTCGGTAAAGATTTTGAAAAATAAAAGCGTGACTTTTTTGTCTCTCTTAAGAATGCTATAATAATATCCTACCTTATCCCAATTTATTCGAGATCATCAACTTAATATTTTGACTTTTACAAAAAAAAAAACGATTTATGCGAAATGCATCCCGCCTGCTCCCCCACCCCTTCTTATTATTTTAAATAATTTTTGTCATACTTTCGCGCCGAAACAGTCACACCCAGGTCTCCAGATTTGACCCCATCGGACTTCTTCTTGTGGAGTTATTTGAAAAGTCAAGTGAACGCCAGCAAGCCCCAGACCACTGAAGAACTCAAGGCAAACATTCGTGCCGCAATCGCCACTAGAGATGCTCGAAAAGGTAATGGAAACGCAGCAAAACGGGCACATTTTGTTTTGGCCAATAAAGGTGGCCACTTGATAGATGTTGTGTTCAAAAACTAGTCCCAATAAATTGTAAAGGACCATATTTAATAAAATACCCGATAAAGTGATTTCATGTTTACATACCGACATAAAAGATGGCGCACCCTGTACATTCATATTTATGATATAATCAGCTAATAGAAATGACATATTTTGCGATGAAAGTATGTACGATTATCGTACGTACCAGGGACGATCGGTTTGAGCCTCGGTCTTCCTCTTGGTTTGATGCCTTTCTCAACTGTAACAAAAATACTTGGCTACCAGGAGGTATTCATGTGCACTGACTCTCAACTAAAACGAATGGCAGCATCGCCTCTCTAAAACTAATTCTATTCCGTAAGCAATATTCAACCTTTATGAATATATCACATTCGTTATTATCATTCAAAGCATGCATTATATTCGATACATGCTCAAGCTCTTGTGAGTCCACTTTCACCGATTTGCAAAATACAAGCTTTTGCCTCCCTATGTCCTTGACCTACATAAAAAACACCCACAGCTATGTCTGTACATAGAAAAGCGATTAAAGATATTATTCACGTTGAATAGTCAATATGAATTACCTTTAGGATGGATCCTAGGTCGACCCCGTTTTTTCTTTCCTTTTTGATCTCCGGCAATAATCCTACTGAAGTGTAATACAAATTAGAAAACCAAATAGATACAAAACAGCATTCGAAAAAGTGCAATATTACCTGGATTTTTAGGTGGCCTTCCCCTTTTTTTCTTGACTGGTGGATTTCCCTCAATTGTGAATGGAACTGAAAATTATAAAAATCATACACCCGAAACAAAGTACGAATCATGTATAAACAATTTATATTTTCAGCACAAGAACCTATATATATATATATATATATATATATATATCTACTGTTACACTGAATAACCCATACAAGTTTGATCCCATAGTTCTGAAACACCCTGTATACGACGATAATTGCCACATCATATGGTGTAGCGATAATAATAAATTGCTACAAAATTGCTTGAAAATTCGGCATCATAACATTCCACGATATTAAAATTATATCCATTGTATTATGCATTAAATAAGTTCAAATGACCAAGCTGATTGATCAAGATCTTAAGTGCATACAAAATATTTCCATTCTCTCTTCTACAATCAACCTAATTGACACAAACAACTTGCTAACACTTTAAGCTGCCGGGGTCGCGATTATTCTATCAATTGAAGAAATAAATTTTCCTATGAAATTCACTTGGCATACGGACATGCTCTTATAGAGTTTGTTTACCAATTACCAAAGAGCAAGTAAGTAGTTGTAAGAGAGTATTGGTACGAAATTGCAAATTTCATAATAAATAGTAAATAAACTGGACAGCATAACTATAGTGTCATCAACTTTGTTGGTGGGGCTATAGTATATTTCCCAAAATTTAATTAACCCTAAATAATAGGAGATTTGTCATCAAGGATTCAACCATATACCTGAAGCATAAGAAATACCGGGTATCGATAAAAATTAATGACATTTTCCAATTTTATAGATACTTTGAATAATTTACAATAAGAAAAAATTACCCATAGGTTTTCTGACTCTGCCCACTCTTTTCGCCACGTAAATGTCCCCACTATCTTCATCTGACATCGATGATGTAGATCCTATGCTATCGCAACGTTCTTCCTCATTTGCCGGATCACCCGTTAGGATTTGGACATGATCGACTGCCTGCGGGTTGAACGAGATTTTTTAATAAAGAAAAATCTCAGTGTCAAGCAGAGTTCGAATGGTACGAATCGTTCTTTTTAAAACACTCATAGAAGTTTTCGGAATAAATACAATAGTTGCTATTTCCTCTCAATGTTATTGCAGCTCCTGATGAAGATGGCAAAGTCCATTGAAAGCTAGAGATTAATAAAGTATAAAGAGTCCTCTTTGCTTGAATTTTGACGAAGTACCCAACAAAAGGCAGAAGCTTTATTTTTCATATACGAGTATGTCAGTTGAAGTTTTTCTATTGATTATTCGAAAAATTGTTCTTTAAGACATTTTTGTTAAGATGCTACAAAGTAAAAGAGCATCATGAACACCTAGCGCTTTGTCTCGCGCACGAAGTTCTTCGTAAACCTGTATACATAATTCGTTATAGCATAATAGTCACTTATACATAAATAAAAAAAGTGGAACTATGAAGGACAAAAATATATAGGCAAAGCAAAACAATTATAGAAAAAAGAAGCACAGTTCATTGAATTATAGAAAACTGTACTTGAAAAGAACTTGTCTACATATTTTTGTCCCTCATAAAAAACTGCTTATATTCAGACTTGTATTGTGTTCATTGCAGATAATGTAATAACAAGGAATTTAGTATTTCTACTAATAACGCATTTGTTTATGGAGCAATGAAGTATGAATTCGTTTTCTAAAGGTATTTAGGTAAATATTCATATTTGTCTATATACTTTTGTCCATTACTGTACATCAATCGCGATCATCGTCTGCTCGACTTCTGACAGGGTTGTCATGTTGTTATTATAGTCGACAATTCCATATTACCAAATTGATGTTTTACGAATTCCTTGTCTGTTGTCAGTCAGTGTAGAAATTTTACATTGTGCCATATTCATAGTCCTACTCCTGTTTGTCCATCTAAACATACGTTTCTTAGTTCTTACTAGTCTCAGATCATATAGTTTTTTTAAAATTTTTGAAATCTGGCAACTGCTATCTTTGTATGGAAAGTAGAACTACTCAGGTGTCGGATGCTTGGAAAATGAAATCTTCCACTAAAACGCTTTTATCGAGAAGCTTTGTATTCGTACCAGTTTGCAAAATAATGGCAAATTTATTTGAACCGCTAGTAACAATATTGCGGGTACAAGGCGAGAGTGTAACTTTTAAGGTATTATACTTACATATAAAGCTTCTGGGGGGAGACACACATCCTTCGGTGTATGCATTTTCTTGATGTGCGTTTTTAATTTATCATGTCTGGAAAATGTTTTGTGACACATGTCACACTCGTGGGGTTTTTCCCCTGAATGCACCAGCTGGTGTCTCGCTAAGTGAGACGCTCGTTTGAAACTAAAAGTGCAATGAAAAACCAGAAACAGTAAAATAAAAGAGCCTTCCTTGGATGGTACTGTATATAAACTGCAAATTCATATATACAGGGTGACCCAACGAAAAGGTCCCACCCCCATTTGTGACGCTCCTGGTATATTTTGGGAAAATACTCGAACACGTCAATTTTGATTTCTAGGGGCACGCCTTTTCTTCTATAGCCGTACAATACAGGGTAATCCAAAAATAAGATATTGCGTTACATTTTAGATTTTTAAACGTAAACCACCATTGTTTTTTCAATTTTTAGATTTGCCATGAAGTTTTCAGTAACTTTTGTGTAATAAAGTTTATACCTATATTCAATCGTTGTGAAGCTATTTGAGATTATAATAAAATTCGACTAAATTAACTTAATAGATAGAAAAAACCTTTGTCTTTCTTTACAAATTGTTAAGTTGCCTACGGAGTTGTGATAAATATTGAACAATGACTTATTCAAAGGGGGCATTACCAAAATGGGGGCATTGCAGGAGCTACTGACTGGTTGTTTAATGTGTTACATCCAAACAAAAATATTAACGATAAGTATGAGGATTAGTTGATAAGAAAATTTGAAGACACTGGATTTGTGTCTAATATTCGCCGTAATCGCCATCGAGAAAATCAATTATATTGAATCAATTAATTAGGTTGTATTGTGCTCAGGTAGACTCCATCATAAGATATGGCATATTATTTTGGGGGATCTCTACTAATTCAAGATGTGTTCATGGAACAGAAAATAATTATCAGATGAATAGGAGGAGAACACGCTCCAATAGCTATTTTCAACAACAAAATGATAAACAAACCATGGGCATAGTGAAGAAAAGCATTTACTTATTGAGTAAATTCTTTTAGTCAAATTTCTTCTGAAAGTAGTACAAACTAATCTGATGTATCTATTGAAGTCTACTTTAAGCTTTAAATCAATAAATATTCAAAACTGCTGAACTGAAGCTCATGTATTTTACATCATTATAAAGGGAATTGAAAGACCTTTAAAATAAGGTATCACTCGACCCTCCTTTCCATTTGAGATTTTAGGGTTGGTGTCACCCCCGCCCAGGGGGCTGCACGTGGTAACGTGATTTTTTGCCAAACTTGTGTCCCCCTCGAAAACAAAATCGACGGGTCTGAGCGTTTTTCCAAAAAAAAACTGAGCTGCCAGTAAATGCGTCTGTTTCGTTTTCGATGCGTCACCCTGTATTGAAAACTTGTTTATACATATTTAAAAATAGAGAGAAATTCCCAACACGGCCAAATGCATTCAATTAATACGAGGATTAGAGAAGACTTTTATATACTATCCTATAGAACTCAAATTACGTGTAAGTCCCCAAATATTTATGACCTAAAAATGTTTAACCTACTTCCTTTGGAAACCACAGTCTAAAGACATTTAAGAATCGTTTAAAAGACTATTTGATTGAAAATAGCTTTTATTGAGTGGGAGAATATCGTGATATATGCAGTTAAATCTTATTTTTTACTATTTGATTGTTTTTTGTTAGATATAGGTTTTTTTAGATTTGAAAATGTACGACAATTCCTATACAGTGTTTCTTGTCTAGAGGAAATAAATAAATAGCAGTTTTGGGATACGTAGCACTTGTCAACAGCCAAAGCACTCGAGGACTGGCTACTTCTTCAGGATTTACGTGCTCAACAATACAAAGAATTTTGAAACAATAAATTTCACCTGTACAAGATAAAACTTGTCCATGACCTTAATGAAGGCGGTTTTGATAGAAGGTTGGAGTTTTGAAAAATAATGCCCCAACGTTTAATCAACAATGCAAATCTGTTATTCAATATTTGTTTCGATAGGTACACTCGCAAGATCCTGAAAAAATAGATGAGCAGGTCGTCATTTTCGGAAATCATATTGTCGGACCTTTGTTTATTCCTGGACGGGCGAGACGTACTTGGACATGTTAGAAAATGCAATAGAGCCAAGATGGTGCACCACCGCCCCATGTGCCTCCAGTACGACACCCATTTCTCGAATCAGTGGATCGGCAGGCAGATTACTTTCCTTGGGGGCACTTGAAAAGTCAAGTTTTTAGTACGAAGTCCGATTCATTCAAGATCTTCGTCAGCGGATTACGGCTGAATGTAGACAAATAACTTAAGAGATGCTTGAAAATGTGAGGAATAGATTCGAACAAAATCTTTATTATTAAATGGACACCACTTTCAGCAATTATTACCACATTGACTAACCTCTTCATATTAAATTAAAAAAGTGAATTATATTATGGCCCACCCTGTATATATGGAATATTTTATTTAATATCATACCGTCTAGGGCATTCTAAGCAAATGAATTTCCTTTCCATCTTTTGCCAAGGTGTGAGTTCTTGACTTGCAACGTCTTTATCAGGCCCAGGAGTAGCGCCACCATCACTCACAGCATCAGTTAAATCAGTCTCATCTTCCGACTCAGTACTTAATTTCATCGGTCCTGATTCTACAGTAACTGAAACTACGTCAAAAAAGGGCATCAAGTAGGTTGACTCTACATTTTCCTCCGCATAATATGTGTAATGTATGTTTGTACTATTGATGATATAATATATTAGAGTTCTTCATACAACATGTCCCACAAAATATCCTGAGTGAAATAAAGTAGTCAAAATATATACACTTATAATGAGCTTGATTATAATGGAAACTCGTATATAATGGACAAAATTTAAGGTCCTATAAATAATTGCATATAAAATACTCGGATATATTATATATACTAAGTGACATATAAATCCTCTGATGAAGATTAAAGGTGACCTGGAACCACAAGCTATAGCACCCCAAACCATAACTCCAACAGTGTGATGAACATGTCTTTCAACAAAAAACTGGATTCCTCCTTTCACCACGTCGCCTTCTAACCCTGGCACGACCATCGTGCATGCCTAAACAAAATCGAGACTCGTCACTAAAGACAATACTGTTCCATTCCTGATCCCAGAGTGACCGTTGTCTGCACCACTCAAGGCGATTACGTCGGTGTTCTCGAGTTAAAGTGAGGACCCAGTGTGGCCGGTATGAAAACAAGCCAAAACTTCTCATTCATCGCTAAACACTTCGCATGCCAATAGGTCTTCCGTGTTCTGCAAACCATTCATTTGCAATGGAGCTGGTAGTGGAGAAACGGTCCCTTAAGGCCAATAATCTTAGGCGGCGATCTTCACGGTCTGTTGTTCTACGGTGGCGTCCAGTGCCCCTTGCTCTTTGCATACGGCCTTCTCGAAGCCATGCCTGACAACACCTAACCACAGTGTCTACACTTCTTTGCACTCTAACTGCAATTGCCCGAAAAGAAAGTCCAGCTTCCCGAAGTCCCACTATACGGCCCCTATCAAACTCACTAAGTTGACGAAATCGTACAGGTCTCCGTGCTCTAGGCATCGTAACCGATCGTAAAGGATGTCAAGAACCAAAATCCGCCAACGTTGATTCTTTACTGCGGCTGAAATATTCATTTTTAGAGCGTTAGTGAATTAAAAAAAAAGCAGTATAAAAACCGGAATGTCCAACTGATAAGGCTGAAAATTTTTTCACTTGTTATTTACAGTAAGATAAATACATTCACCAACTTTTATTAAAATAAAACCATTTAAACTGGGTGTTCGGATTTATATGTCACTTAGCATATTAGAGATATAAACATGGCGAAACGTGCATTCACTTTACACGGAAATGTCACAATAATTAGTGAGCTTGAGCAGTGTTCATCTCAAGCAAATATATGTGCTCGTGTGGCTATAAAAAAATCCACTGTGTCAAATATTTGAAAAAACCATGACAAAATTAGAAATGACGAAATCAAATAGTCAAAAGAACAAAATGCGGCTATCGCTGCATCCCCAAGTCGATGATATGCTGTTTAAATGGTTTCAACAAAAGCGTGCTAATAATTTTCCAATAAGTGGACCTATGCTACAAATAAAGGCTGAGGAATTTGGAAAATTGATGGGAGATTACTTCAAAGGTAGTTCCGATTGGCTAGACAGGTTTAAGGAAAGACGTAACATTGTTTTTGGAAAAATGTGTGGTGAGTCAGCTTCAGTTGACAAGAACGTTACCAATGACTGGTTTTCTCAAGTTTGGCCCGTAATATATAGTGATTATTCAGATGATAACATATTCTATTCAGACCAGGATATTTTATAGAATGCTAAAAGGTGAAACTTGCAATGGAGGGAAACTATCAAAAGAGCGAATAACTATTATGATTTGTGCTAATGCTTCTGGTACTGAAAAACGGAAAGGTAAGTGAATGAATAGAAATTCATGTTCTTATTTTTTGATATTCAATGACAGTGCTGCAAATAATTTATGGGTTTTTCAAAAATATTAAAACAATTCCCGTCGATTATGTCGGAAATAATAAATCTTGGAGGACTTCATCAATTTTTAAAGAATATTTAAAAAAGTGGGACGCTGAACTTGTTAAGAAAAATCGTAAAATTTTGCTCTTGGTCGATAACTGCCCCGCTCATCCAAATGTTTCACTTAATAACATCAACATTCAATTTTTTCCACCCAATGTGACATCAGTTCTGCAACCAATGGACCAAGGTGTCATTTGGAGTCTTAAACAAATGTATCGGAAACATGTGTTGATAAAAATTATGAAGCTTCAAGAAGATGTTAACATCACCATTTTAGATGCTATAAATTTGCTTACTATTGCATGGGAATTGGTTACTCCAGAAACAATTCGTAATTGATTTCGCCATGCTGGTTTAGTGACAAACATAACTGAAATAGTCAACGATTTTAATCCAGAAGATGAAATTCTATTCAGTGATTTACTGAAAATTAATAGTTTACTGAATATAGATAAATTTAATGAGTATGTAAATGTTGACAATAATTTAATAGCAACACAGGAGTTGTCAGACTCCAATTTGGTTAATGAAAGATCCGTTGATAAAGAACAGGAAGACGAACTAGAAAACAACGATGAAGAAGAGCTGCCAGTGACAACTAAGGAGGCATTAGACAGCAAGAAGAAGACAGTACAGCCACAGTTACCAAATTAAATAAAATTCAAATTGCTGTTCTAAATAATTATACAAAATTTCAAAATTACGTATAACTTTTTTGTATGTATCTTTATTTATGTAATACATACATGTCAAACAAACACATTTTAAGCTTTTAATATGTTATTCCTGCTGATTTTTTCATTAAAAAAAGTGTTTTTTTTTAAGATGTCATCCGTCTATAATAGACTATTTGTTACAGTCCCGCCGAGTCCATTATAAGGGGGTTGCACTGTTTATAGATAGAATGAAACATCTTGCTCGATTATTATTCATTCTCTGGTTTTAATATTCATCATACTAAGTTACCAAGATATGTTCAACTACAGTCTGCATTACCAAGATCTTCTAGGAAAATAGGTGTATTTTGACCAGCTAAAACTCAAATTTCTTGGAATAAATGCAGCTTTGTCCAACCGAAAATGTTCTTAGTTGGGAAGATACGAAATCAAGTGTGCATATGAATACTGTCCTTAAATTCAAATTCAACAAAGGTAAACTTAAGCTGAAAACATTGCCTACAGGCAATTGTTAAAAAAATATGTACATGCATCAAATTGTTTTAGCAAGTTTAATTATTTTTTCTTTAATGTTGAAAAACTTCTTGTACAAATCATCTCAGGAACAAAGTGGATGATTAAATTTTTTGTAAAACTATGTGTAAATCCAATACCTATATGTTGTATGTCATATAAATTTTCAAGACATTTTCATAAATTTACCAGCCAAAAAGAGGATAGTGTGGTACCAAAACAACAAGTAAGCATATGCAAATCAAATACCATCGTCTGTCTTCTCTCCTGTGGCATTATGTTCAGTGGTATCTCCACTTGTATCAGCAACTGTTGTATTTTGGATTCCAGTTCCTGATTGACCTTCAGTATCTGCATTATGAAGTTGAGTGCTGTCTGGAGCACCTGATTTTTTTGCTTCTGCATTAGTTACAGGTGCACTGTTTACTCTAGAATGTGTTCTGCTTTTGCTATGTTTTTCTTTCTAAAACAAAAATATTCCATGTAAACACTCTGTTTTTAATCTGGTTTTTGTAGCCATTTATCTTATTCATAAGCATGGATAAAAATAATTCAATGGTAAATACAACCATAATAGGGGATTAGGGAATAAAGTGGGATAACATACAAATATGCGGCCGATTAATGTCTTGCCCGATGTCGAGAAGCTGTTCGAAGGGATAATATAGGAACAAATCATAGAATTCAATGAAGAAAAAATTTTGATAGAAAATCAAGCTGGATTTAGAAAAAGAAGAAGTATAGATGAGAAAGAATATATTGCAACAGTATTTTTAAACTTCAAAAGGGCATTTGAGACTACAGATAGGGAAAATTGTTAATGAAATTGCATCACTATGGCTTTAAAGGATCAGTATTACACCTTTTTCAAAATTATTAAGTAAATAGAAGTCAAAAAACTATAGTTGGAAATATTTTCTCAAGTGTTCAAAATATATCAGTAGGGGTGCCACAGAGGAGAAAATTAGGGCCGTTACTATTACCAGCACATTTAGAGAACTTCACAAAATTAAATAGTCATTATCATAACTACGAAACTAGAGGCCGTATAGATTTTCATTTGCAAATTTGTAATAGTAGCATAACTAGTAAATCTATATTTCAAAAGGGAATATTTAAATTTATAAATTGAATAATGATATTAAACAGAGTTCGAATTTAAAAATGTTTAAGGTGAAATTAAAAAGAATCACTTTATGACTAATCAAAATGCATAGTGACGTAATTTTAATTTTAATAGACAAGAATGTAAAATTACAGAAAATGGATTGAAGAAAAATATGTAACCAAATCATTATACAAAATTGACATTCTAGCATTAATGCTAAATAAATCTTCAACAACAACAAAAAAGTGGTGAGTATTTGCACCACATATTTGCACATATTTGTAAGCAAAAACTAGTTTACCTTTTATCCCTAGCATATTTTCTAGTGCATTTTCAATTACATTCTTCTATCTGCTATATTCGTTTAACTAATCTCGGTTAATCAAGCAAACTTTCAAGTACTGATATTCTATGGCAAATCATACACAGGACCGCATTCAAGGGGGGGGGTCTTCTATTTAACACTTTTTTCCGCGAGGGTTTCTTTAAAAAGATTTTAGTATCTTCAAAACCGTCAACTGGTATGAACTAAAATTTTGCATGTGGATTTACCACACTATTGTCACATTCAAGTCTTTACTTATAATTAACGTGCGCCAGTGGCGGAGATACAGGGGATTAAAAGGCATTATTTTTCCAGATAAAACATTGCATTTTATCGCCAGGTTGCAGACATTGCACATTTGCTGATGGTAAGGATGTAAAACTTCCCTATTTAAAATTCTCCACACAAGACTTTGGGAACATGGTACCTGAGCTGCAATCTGCCTAGAACTTGTACTATGATCATCCAATGCCAAATCAATCACTTCCAGTTCCTCTTGAACAGTATGCCAGACACCATGGCCTCTAACTTAGGGACGATTGGCACTGGTGCATGTTAATTTTAAGTAAAGACTTATGAATATGGACAATACTTAGGTAAATCCACATTCCAAGTTTTAGTTCATTACAGTTGACAGTTTTGAAGATTTAAAAAAAAATGGTTTTTATTTTTAAACACCCTGTATCTTTTTAACGAAGCCCTCAAGGAACAAATCTTACACAGAAGACCCTTAGAGTAAGGTCTTGTATATGATCTTTCAGTTTTGGTTACGACTTTTGAATTATCCTATATATAAATGTGAATTTCAATCAGCATCATGCCTGAATCACAATACAGAGAGACATAAAAAAGTACCTTATTAGTGGTGAGAAATGTTCCACAGGTGAGAAACTAGTTTTATCAACAAAAACTCAAAATAAAATGGCATCAAGTAATTCAAAAGGATATAGTATGAAGTATGCTGGGTACTGTTGCGTCTTGTAGAACTTTGGATTTCACTGTTTTTTCACTTGAAACTTATAGAGGGTCCTCTGATAAATTATTTTACATCATAAAAAGTGTGGCTGAAGCCAAATTTTTTCCCCAAAATACTGTATTTTTTAGCAGTTATTTCCACCTCTAGACGCTGACGTCTGTGGATATGTCATATATGAGAGGCACTTGCCTGCGGTGTTGCCGGATTGGACTCTGTATTTAGGGGAAAATATGAAAAGTGGAAAATTCATATACACTTATTATATTAATGAAACACAAAAACAAAAAACTGAAACAAACCGTAGTAAAATTAAAAGTCATTCTTACTAAGTATAAAACAAAAAATAACAAACAGCAGTAAAATAAAAAGCGATTCTAAGTGATTATAAAAAAACAAAAATTAAAACAGTAGTAAAACAAAAAACAATTCCATTTAATTATAAAAAAACAAAAAATAACAAAGAGTAAAATAAAAAGCAATTTAGATGGAATAAAATTGTTCCTCGTTTTACTACTGTTTTTACTTTTTGTTTTGTGTTGTCACTTAGAATTGCTTTTTATTCAACATGGAACTGTTTTTTTTGTTTTACTACTGTTTTTATTTTTTGTTTTTTATAATCACTTAGAATTGGTTTTTATTTTACTGCTGTTTGTTATTTTTTGATTTTTATAATTACATGGAATTAGTTTTTGTTTTACTACTGTTTTTATTTTTTGTTTTTTATAGTTGTAATTTATCATTTTTTAGCTTACTACTGTTATTTTTTGATTTATACTTATTAGGAATCGCCTTTTATTTTGCTACTGTTGTTTGTTTCAGTTTTTCGTTTTTGTCATTTTGTGAAAAGCGTGCTTCATCCACACTTTTTTTGTTTCTAAATAATCTATCAGACTACCGTCTAAAAGATTTAAGAGAAAAAACAGTGAAATCTGAAGTTCTACAAGACGCAACAGCACCCTATGCTGAACATGTTTAGATTTTATTGGCAGAAAATTGAAATCCCATTTGGGAGAGTAGAGTATTTTTACTCTATATTCACACACAGTCAGGTACAGAGCAGCATTTATACAGAGTACAACATCAACTATTCCTGCACTGAGGCTATCTAAACACTGTGTAAACAAGCTTAAGTTCAAATTACTCTTGAACTTAAAATTTGGAAAAGAGGACATCTGATATTTCCACTTTGAGGTGGTTGAGTAAATAATACGAAATTAAGGTAAAGTGATAGCCTTGGGCGTCGAAATGTAGTGTGTATTGTTGTGTATAATAGAGCCTTGTTTACTTTTTATGCGAAAAAGTCTGTATTGATATACCCTCGCTCACCTCTTTCTTTCTAGACGTATCCACCATCAAACCAGTGATCTCCAAACTCTCAACAAAATCATAAACAGCATTGAAATTCCTCCCAGGTACCTCGATAGTACCTTTATAAATTAACTCTATCAGATACTGCAGCTGGTCTATCGCTATTCCGTACATGTATACGGAAGAATTTTGATCGCTATCCAGGAAAATTTTTCGGAAATGCGGGCTCACCGCTGCTAAAACCAGCTTGTGCACCCTGATGGACCCGTTTCTGCACCATAATGTACAGTCTGTCAGTAAATCGTTCTGCAGCAGAGATTTGAATGTTTTTTCAAGATTTTGCAGGTGGCCATCGGTACATATTCGTATTTTTCGTTTCATTTTTGCACTTTGTTTTCGTTCGTTTACACTGGACGCCGAAAGACAGAACTTGAAAGTGAGGTTATGTGGATTTTCAGAGCAACATAGTACAGTGATTGTAGAAGACTAGAGAAAATAATTCTACACTATAGTTTATTCACCGAATCAAGTAGTTACGTCAAATAATGACAGTAACGCACAGGGTTGCCACATTAATTAAAACTACTAGATCCTAGGACGTTTTACAAAATCTTCGATGCCTTCCCGCAACCAACATTACCGAGCGAATGTTTTATAAACGCTAGAGTTAATACAAATTCTATTTTACTACCTAATACCTCTTTTACTGACTGTAAAGGCAATAATGGAGCTACATGATCTTGTTCGGTTTCAAAATATTTCGTCATAGAAATGACGAATTATTTTGCTTGTCGACTCAGAGGTTTCGGCATTTTAGCAAAATGGTTAAAATGATACCTTTAAGTTTTGAAAAATACTGTTAAAACTGTTACCAACACTTGCTTGACACTCAAATTTACTGAATAAGACGTAACTGCTTTGTTTCAGTGAATACACTATATTACCTATTTTACAGTGAGTAACTCGTACAAAAATACGTGATGACTTTTGTAATTTTAAAGCAAGACGTGAATATTATTTCGTTATAAAAATCAGAATTCATGATACTAACTTGTTTTGGGAATTTTTTAGGGTGATTCTTACAAACTAATGCTATATTCCCGACGTCCAAAAAATTATCCGAGATACTGTAGCGCAATCTCTGAGCATTGTCACAGCTGTTTCTCTGTTTACTATATATATATATATATATATATATATATATTTAATTTGGAAAGGTTAGTGTCTCATAGATGGCGCTGTAGCCCAGTATATGAGCATATACGAGCATATAAGTGGCTACAGTGCGATCTGTGAGACCTTTTAAGGTAAATATAGTAAATAGACAAACAACTGTGACCAATTCTCATAGATGACGCTATACACTGTATCGCATTTTATCTCACATAATTTTGTTGACACTTGAATAGAGCATTAGGTTGGCTAAGAAAATATAATAAGAAAGAACTATAGAAAAGTTTAGTAGATTGTTGCAGTTTGAAATTTCAGATAAACAAAAATTGCGTCATTAGTGAGTAAATTAGGAAAACTCAGTATTCAAAATTTTTTGACATTACGCCCTGGATCATAAAAAAATTGGAAAATGTCTGAAAGCGAGGAATCGGTTCCTTGAAGTCATTACGGAAATATTCTACTACGCCTAACGATATCATCTGATTATCTCCGAATATTTCCAACATCGGATTTGTAGGTTGTAATACATTCTCACCAAATGTCGAGGTGATCAATTGAAATTATTGAGAACTAACGAATTTGAAAATATATAACAGATATATCCGCCCCTGTATCAATTCCAATGCCATATATCACTTAACACCCAATGTAACAAAAAAACACTTGAGCATTATTGCTAAATAATATTATATGCGAGTATACCCAGTATTTATTTCGGTATTCAAACTAACTTCACTGTACTATCAGCTCCTTAAAAGCACAAGGCCAACGATCGTAGCATGTCCGCGGCGCGTAGCCAATAAAATGCTTGCACTGCACTGTGTTTATTCTATGAAAACACTCCGGATTTTTGTTGTTTTATCGATATTAAAGATTCAATATTTAATCAATCTAAAATCGCATGCACTGCACTAAAATTATCGTATTTCATTCTGCACTTCACACCGATTAACTGAACGCCATTTGCGAATAAACTGGGCAAGAAAAGGCGAGGGGGGCTAGACAGTAGACAGAGAGCTGTATCGATTTATTTCTGTGCTGCCCCCCCTCTACATCGAGCTCCCTACGGAATTAATTATTTTGTTCAGAGTGGGGTTAATTCCGGTTAAGTAATTTTAATTTAACGACTTAAATTTATGCATTGTAATGAAAATAATAATAAGTATTTTAGCATTTGAATTCAGATTATACTATATGATCTGATTTTTAACAGCTTTTACATTAGATCAGTGTTTCTCAACCGGTAGCGGGGCGTGTCTATGGGGGTCACGAACTATTTATACATAGAGAAGAATTAAATAGTTACTGATAAATACATAGTGACATATCTTTATTTTCATCTGACTCCAAAAAAAGTAGGTATTGGATATTGTCAGGAAATGCAAAATATGAAACAACAAATTATTTCTAGAAAGATAGCTGGATTTTTATTGATCACATTTCATAAAAAGTTAACGGTACGAGTAGAAATGCCTGGGAAATGCAAACACTTTTTGTTATTGGCTGTATTTCTTGAACATGAACGGGAGGTCGGGCAATTTGTAGTACATTTTGACCATCATGACCTCTGGACCCAAGGGCGTACCCAGCTCAAAACGGAATGGGGGCACCTGTTCGATATTTTTGTTTCTATATGCATTTCATTGTTTTATCCATTTATTTAGAGTCTTCCACGACGATTTGACAATTCATATTTATATGGAAAACTATACTAGGGTTACTTTTATGAAAAATTCAAGCAAATATTCCGCGAGATGCGTTTTTAAGTAATAATTTAGTCGTGCATTTTATAAAATATATAAAAACGCAATTTTGACACCATTCAACCGACCCACATCTCCCATCGTTTAGAAGATCACACTGGTGAAAATATGATAAATTTGTTTTTCAAATCATTCTAATATAAACTAGGTACATCCCTCTACATATTATAATATATAAAACTATTTTTGGCTGTGTGTTATAATGGGTGATTTTTTTGCTAGTATCTTTTTGGCAACACTGTTTTTGACAGATGACGCGTGAATCGTGTCTTGTGTCATTGTCAAACTTGTTCAGTTTGGTCTATAATTTAACCATGAATCGACTTACGAACGAACAACGCTTGCAAATTATTGAATTTTACTATCAAAATTCATGCTCGGTTAAGAGAGAGCATCGAGCACTGCTTCCAATTTATGGGCAATTTGGTCGGCCTACTGAGCGAGCTATTCGGAAGCTTGTGACTAAATTTCGAACCCAGTTTACATTATTGGACATTAAACCACCAACACCCAGACGTAGAGTGAGGACTGAAGAAAATATTGCGGCTGTATTCGCCAGTGTTAGTGATGACCGTGAAATGTCGATTCGCCGCCGTTCGCAGCAATTGGGCCTCTGTTACTCCACTACGTGGAAAATTTTGCGACAGGATTTGAGTGTAAAACCTTATAAGATACAGCTGGTGCAAGAATTGAAGCCACACGACCTCCCACAACTTTTCCAATTTGGTAAAGTTGGAGGAAGATCCATATTTCTATCGAAAAATTGTGTTCAGCGACGAAGCTCATTTCTGGTTGAATGGGTACGTTAACAAGCAAAATTGCCGCATCTGGAGTGAAGACCAGCCAGAAGCATTGCAAGAGCTACCAATGCATCCCGAAAAAATCACTGTTTGGTATGGATTATGGGCCGGTGGCATCATCGGGCCGTACTTCTTCAAAGACGACAATGGCCGGAACGTAACTGTGAATGGCGAGCGCTACCGTGCGATGATAACAAACTTTTTTTGCCCAAAATGGAAGAGCTGGACTTGGCTGACACGTGGTTTCAACAAGACGGTGCCACATGCTACACCGCACACGAAACAATGGCCCTATTGAGAGGCGAGTTCGGTGAACAGTTTGGGGCCCGTCAATTGGCCGCCTAGATCGTGTGATTTAACGCCGTTGGACTATTTCTTGTGGGGGCCATGTTAAAGCTAATGTCTACAGGGATAAACCAGCAACGATTGACGCACTGGAAGCCAATATTGAAGCATTTATTCGTGAGATACCGGCCGATATGTTGGAGAGAGTGTGCCAAAACTAGACCTTGCGCATGGGCCATCTCGACTCAAATGAAGATTTAATCGTTTTTTTCAAATTTTTTGTGTTTTTTTTGAAAATCAAATCCTATACCTCTTAAAAAATCACCCGTTACAACGAAATGTTGGGAATCTCCAAACTGGCGATACGGCAGACCGAAATATGTGAGTGAGATGCAATAAGCATTGACAAGTCTAGTTACATGGAATCTCGTAGAAGAAAAACATAATAAGGCAGTGCATTTTTGTCACACTAGGACTGTACTTATGCGATCTGTATTCCTCATCACAACAGACACTTAAAACCACCAAGTAGTTGACGTTAATCAAAAAACTGCCTCAACTAGGTGCTTAACAATGGTATTGTTTAATCGAATAATAGAGCAGGAAGAGATAGATAATAATGCGACACTGACCTTTTCTTGCTCAGTCCGTCTACAAGACTGTTCCAGATAATTCCGAAAGTAATTGACTAACTGATGAACGTCCATCAATTCAGCTCCGTTTGATAAAACATCTCTTGAGATTATGATTAATAAAGAATATATGGTATGGTAAAATTATTGCAAAAATATTTAATGGCTGTTAAATATAAGATAAACAAATGGAGGATTTTTAGAATAATTCCACTTGTCAATATGACGTCACAGATTCACATATTTAGTATATTAGAGCCGTTTTACACACAAGAGAATTACTCCGAAAATTATGGTCATAATTATGCTGAAAATTTGCATGTACAAAATATTGAAGTTTTTCTCTACAACCTGTATGCCACAAGCAAACAAAATTTCGGAGTAATTCATATGATACGCCTGCGCATTAGAGTAATATTTTCGAATGGAGATAACCTTAACGGGTATGACGTCCAATATAATCGGAAAGACAACAGACGTCGATGATTTAAACTTATTTTTGAAATCCCCTACTGAGCGAGGGCCGTGGCAAATGCTTGTTCCGGAAGTCGTTGTATCCAGTATACAACTTCTTCCCGTCCAAGTGATTGCGCACGCGTTAAGGAATACCTCAGTACCGATTGCCGGGTGGCGGTACAAGTCCGCCAACGGGCCACTTTAGGTCTATTTAACATCACTAATACGTAAAAAGAAGGTGGTAGACAAGGACCAGTCGACCGAGGCAGTACCACCCGCTAGCTTTTCCCAGGGTGTCTTATAAATGTCCGCATGTTTCCACACCTAAGCTATGCAATCGGTTATCTACCAAAACAAAGAAATTAATGATGATGGATCCCTCGAGCACTAAAAACTCCGGACGTAAACTCACTCCACTCTCGGAATGTCCGGGTGGAGGGTGGGCTCGAGGGAACAACATCGAAGATAAAATTTGTTTTTCGAACATCTGCGGGATCAACAGCAACATTGATGCTGTTCATCACTACCTGCAATCCAATCGTCCCGCCGTGCTTTTCTTGGCGGAGACAAAAATCTCAGAGGCTGCACCGATTAACCATCTCAACTTCCCAAACTACGAGGTGCACTCCAATCTGAGAAAGAACGGGGGAGTTGTGGCTTTTGTCCGCAGCAGTCTTTCCTGCTCCAGGGATCTTTCTTTGGAATCAGACCGGAAGGACATTCTGTGGCTTCGCCTCAACTCCAAAACATCACCCAAATTTATTTGCTGCCTTTATCGCTCTCCCTCGAACCATAACTGGGATGACCTACTCGAATACCTCGCCGTCCAGATCGACTTCCTGAACATCAATCACCCCGCTTCAGAGGTAGTTCTTCTCGGTGATTTCAATGCCCATAATGAGCTTTGGTTGGGCTCAAACAAGACCGATGCAGCAGGTCGTGCAGTCGAAGCGTTCGCTCTTACTCAAGGGCTGACCCAGCTGGTGACGAGCCCTACTTTTTTCCCCCGCGTCTCGTCACACGCCAGTAGCCTGCTAGATCTCTTTCTGACCACGCATCCTGCCCCTTACAGCACTGCCGTCCTGTCCCCCCTGGGTAACTCAGATCACGGTGTTGTGGAGGTTAGGTTTCGGTCAGAAGCCGCTGTGGCCGCAGAAACTCGCACAGGCCGCAAAACTTGGCATTACGGACATGCCGACTGGGAGGGGCTCAGAGACTTCTTCTCTAGCTTTCCTTGGAGAGATGTCTGTTTCACTGACGCGGATGCGTCGACTGTCTGTTCTTCAATAACCGAAATTATCCACGTCGGAATGGAGGAATACATCCCTCACACAGTGAAAGTTCCTAAACCAGGGTCCAACGGCTGGTTCAACAAATCGTGTGACACTGCTCGCCAGCAGAAGATCAAGGCCCACAGAACCTACTTACAAAACCCCACTGTAGAGAACAGACAAGCCGACGTCGAGTCCAGAAACAAATATAACGAAGCGGTTCGCAATGCCAAAACCCAGCATGATATAAAAGTTAGGCACAGGGTAATGTCGCAGCGCAATGGCAGTCGGTCTTTCTGGACGCTGGCCAAGCAGATTGAAAAGAACTTCTCACACAGTAGCCTTCCACCACTTACGTGTCAGGATGGAACTATTGTATTCGACTCAAAGGCCAAGGCAGAAGTGCTAGCCAAGATCTTTGCTGCCAACTCCACCATGGACGTCCCCACCAACGCCCAAGTGCCGTCAATTCAAAGGGTTCCCCACACTATGCGGGAGGTAACATTCAGGCATAAGACCGTAAGACGAGTGCTCTTGTCGCTCGACATCAACAAAGCTTCTGGTCCGGACTTGATTCCTGCCATTGTACTGAAGAGATGTGCAGCTGAGCTTGCTCCAGTTCTTTCGCGTCTCTTCCAGATATCTTATGAATCCGGCACCTTCCCAGAAAACTGGAAATTTGCTCATGTACAGCCCATCCCAAAAAAAGGATCTAAAACCGACCCTTACAACTACAGGCCTATAGCTCTGCTTTCTGTTATAAGTAAAGTGATGGAGAGGTGCATAAATCGCGAGCTTCTGGACTACCTCGAACGTCACAGCTTGATTAGC